AACCGCCGCTTATCAAACTGTTAAATTGTTGTTGCCCTATTAGTTAGGTTGATGTTCGCGGCGATTGTACGAAGGGGAGTGATGAAAGTCGAGGTGGATCAATAGTTTGTCCGATTACCAAGGCCGACAGATCCCTCATATACGGACACACACACTCGTTTAGATAGCCAAGCACTCATTCTACCATCTACAGTGTCTATAGATATCATTGTCACCCTCCGTATAATCTAAGTTTCTTCTTCATATATAGCCTCGTGCAGTCCGGATAATCGACTCCCCGACTTCCCCGACTCGGAGTTAACCGCCTTATTGGTTTATCCGTTTCACGGCTTAAGGCCGGATCTACGTCGGACCGGAGCGATTGCTTTTCTGCGACGTCAACAACGCCAAAGATCTAAACCGCTATCAACTTGGCTTATCATAGTATGGGTTTGTTATTGGGGTGCTTTCAGAAGAATTGGATGTGATCGTTTTATGTCAGTAGCTTTGCCCCATGGGGATTCCCGGGTGAGTACTGGAACAGCTACACCAAAAATATATATATTTCCATTTGTTTACAACGCGCTGGCTAGACAACTAATAACTAACTTAACAGACTCATCAATGCCATTGGCCCTGGAGAACGGATTTCACTATCTAAATTGGCCATAACGCATCTGGAACAAACAGCAAGGCCCATCCGGATCGCGGTCGATATCTCAATATGGCTGTTCCAGGTGCAGGCTGGGCGAGGCGGAAGGAACCCCGAAATCCGGACACTGTTCTACCGACTTTTGAAATTTTTAGCTTTGCCCATTCATCCTCTCTTTGTCTATGATGGGAAGAACAAGCCGCCGCTTAAACGAGGGAAAGCGGTTTCTGGACGGGGAAATGCGCCTATTATCCAGGTATCGAAGCGCTTGATCGATTTGTTCCGGTTTCCTAGGCATGAGGCCCCGGGAGAGGCAGAGGCGGAATGTGCGAATCTTCAAAGAGCTGGTATCGTCGATGCTGTGATGAGCAATGATGTCGATGCTATGATGTTTGGGTCGAAAACGACCATTATGAATTTCTCCAAGGAGAACGGTAGTACTACTTCTGCGTCGCATGTCACTTGCTATCGGATGGGAAATCAAGCGGATAGGCCTAATGTCGATCTCGATCGTCCTGGCATGATTCTCTTTGCGATGCTTAGTGGAGGTGACTATCTGCCATCTGGTGTCCCGAAGTGCGGTAGCAAATTGGCAGCGGAGATCTCGAAGGCTGGTTTTGGATCAGATCTCCTGGATGCAATCAACGCCAAGGGTACGGAACGGATGGAGAAGTTGAGCGAATGGAGAGAGCGACTCCAATATGAGTTGGAAGAGAACGAGAGTGGTTTTTTCAACACCAAGCACAAGGCCGTCCGGATTCCGCAGACTTTCCCGGATCAGACGATTTTGGAGTATTATGCTTCACCTGCTGCGTCCCAAGCCGAAGAACTTGACATTTTGCAGCACCGTTTGATGAACGCTTGGGACCAGGACATTGACCCTTTAGAGATTAGGCATTTCGCCGCAGGATTTTTTGACTGGAATTACCGCTCTGGAGCGCGGAAAGTAGTACGACTGCTTGCGGAACCTTTGGTTTCTTATAAGATCCGTCTCAGAAGACAACTGAACGGCCCGGCACTGTCGAACAGCGAAATTCCTATGCTGCAGAAAATCTACAAAAGCCGCGCAAATTACAGTACAGATGGCCTGACGGAGTTGCAAGTCGATTTCATCCCAGTAAACGTTGTTGGCCTGGACCTTTTCGCAGAGGAACCCAATCCTCCACTTCCATCACAGGAAACAGCGGCATCCGGTGATGAAGTGGACGATGACCTCGAAGCTCCTGCTGAATCCGTTCCCCAGTCTCCCGTCAAGAAACGAGTTACTAAGCGTTACGACCCCTACGCACCGGAGAAGGTGTGGGTTTTCGAAGCATTGGCTAGAATCGGCATCCCAGATGTAGTCGAACAGTGGGAAACAGAACGGGCTGCGAAGTTAGCGCCAAAGAAGCCAACCAATCGAAAGACAGGCCCTAAAAAGAAGAAACAATTAGACCCGGGGATGAAACACGGAAGTATCTTGAAATACGGTACACTCACGAAACCACGCCCCGAGGTCTCTCAGTTCAAACAAGCGCAGCTATTCGAAGCAGCACTCCCCAGTACGCCAAACTCAAGCCAGCTGCCAGGGCCGCGATCACAAAGTCGCACACGTACAGCATCCCCAAATTTCAACATGCCAGGTCCTGGGACAGCCTGGGCAGACAGCCTGGACAACCTCGTTGACATCTTCTCGCCCTCATATACAATGCCACCCGAACTAAGTTCAAAGAGCCGTAGCTGTGGGAGACCCCGTCTCGAATCCCGGCGCGCAGCAATCTGCTTAGACGGCATCGAAGTGATAGATTTGGAAGCGTCAGGAGATGAATTTACCCTGGAAATTCCCTCTCCTTCGCCAACCTATCCACAGAAACTCAAGATCAGCGTCGGCTATCCAGCTTTATCCGAAGTAGAGGATAAACCCAAACCCAAAGCGAAGACGAAGATGAAGACCCCTGCATCATCACCCTTGCCCTCCCCAACCATGAAGAGCAACAGGCGCGCCCAGAAAGACATTCAGTGCGTTTCGGAGGATTTGAAAAATGACGAGAATCCAGTAAAATCTTTGCCTGAGCCACAATCACAACATTTCCCCGTTTCTGATGGACACACCGAACCTTGTGATTGCACCGAACCAGCACCCCCAAAGCGCCGGTCGCCGAAGAAAACACCGCTAACACCAAGGACCAATGAACCCACACCAGAGTACAAGACGGACAATACACTCTCATCAGTTATGGAATATCTTCCGCAAGCGCCACAATTTAAGAAAGCAGAGAAGAAACACCAAGAACTGAAACAACGCGCGAAGAACAATGGGCTATCACAGTCTGAATCTTTCGAAGCCAGGGGCTCCAAAAAACACACCAAACCGCTCGAAGATCTGTCAAGCCCCAGAAATGGAAAATCTCAGCAAGTCGAAGCCGTGATAGCGCACAACAGTTCCTGGGTTGTGGAGCCTCGCTCTGAGTCTGAGAATGATGGCAATGCAAAGGACGGTGATGACTCGGGGAGTCAACGCAAAGAAACGAAGGCGAAGAAGCGCATTCCGCGTGTGAGCATCTTGGACCTGACCTGATTGAGCTGGGCTTTGTTTTTTTTCTCTATTGTTACTATTGCATCATGTTGGTTCGGGTTTAGGCGTTGGGAGTTAGAGTATGATACAGCGTATAGATAGCTGAATATGAATATGATTATTTCCTCATCTCATTTTGTCCAATGGTATTTTGATTGGTAATGTGTATTCTGAAACATCTAGCTAAAATATATAAATGCAAAACGCACGCTCGTGCAATCGGATATCAATAAGAAGTGAAGTCGAAGTCGGTGCCAGAAGACAACCTGGAACAGAAAGGACACCCTTCCACCAACAAAAGCAACAACCCCTGACAAAGACAAATAAAATAATACACTAACTGTCAAAAAAGGCCAAAGAAACAGTTATTCAATGCGTATGCTTGCTTCGCTCGATTCAAAGGTGGGAGCGAAGAGTGAAGGAGGGGATTCATCGCACGTGCGCTAAGGGTACAGTATGGGATCACTGTTAAAATCCCATCGATGACAAAAGAAAGTCCTATGATGTGATGAAGTAAAGAACGTTGGTAGATCTTTTTCTTTTTCTTTCTTTTTTCTTTAAGAAAATGACTGGTCTACCCGAAAACCTTCAAGAAGCCCCAAAGGCCAAATCCACTCAACACGGGAATCGTGATGTTGTCATCCCAGCCGAAGATGTCCACGAACTCGCTGCCGGCAGCAACAATACCGGAAACAAAGCTCATGACTCCGAGAGCCAAAGGACCGGTGATAACAGCCTTCGACGACTCGGTAGTCCAGCCAAGGAGGTTCCTGACACAATCCGGGATAAGGTTCAGACTGCCAGTGAACATGGCAGAGTCTTCAGGGTCATTGGGGAAGGTTCCGATATACGGTACAAACCAGCCCCAGAAGGCAGCGGCGGCGGCAACACCCACAAACCAAGCGGCCAGGCTTCCGGCGAAACTCTTTCCTTTACGGAGTTGGAAGGTGTACCGGCCGTACAGGCGGCCAAAGGTGGAGGCAGCGGTGTCGCACCAGCTAAGAAGGAGGATGCTCATGACACCAATGTCCTTGGGGAGGAAGCGCAGAACTGTGTATGCGCCCAGTAGATACCAGATCACACCGTTGTAGCCCGACACCTCTGTCTCGCGCATTAGTGCGCCCACGCAACGGATGTAGAATTTGTTGACGGTTTCTGAGCGATGCCGAATCAAGTCGGTGGCGGCGATGGGCACGAGAGCCGAGAACAGCCACGGTGTGATCTGTAGTGGTTGTACGCCCCGGCTATACAGTTGAAGAGTAATGAATCCGATGGACACATGCAGAAGCTTGCGCGGAATCTCATGGCGATGGATGAAGTTTCGATAACGAGAGTGTAGGGGAATAATCCCTAGAGGTGACGGTGATCGAGAAGACACGTCGTGCGAGCCTTGCTGGACTTTGGAGAGCGGCGACAGGTAGCCATTGATCTTGCCGTTAGCCTCAACTTCCTCCTCCTTCTTCGCAGGCGCTATCGGAGTCGGTTTTCGTTGTCGCGCTGTGCCATTAGGCGGTGTTGAATTACGGGACCTTGTTCGTGTGCGTTTCGAAGTCGAATCGTTCTCGTCTGTTTTCCTTTCGGGTACGCCGGTCTGCCGCTGCCTTCGCGCAGCAGAGCGAGTCGTAGGTCCGAAATAATCCTCTCGCAAACGCGATCCTTCCGGCGAGGTCGGGGTAGGAGAAATGACCCGAGGCGTCTCGGGGATGGCGTCTGGAGATCGAGGCATAGTGACCGGTTTGATGCCCAAGGGCGGGACGGCAGGTCTTCGAATCAACCCGGACAAAGGTCGGCGAAATGGCGATAGATAATCGCAGGCAAAAATGCCAGGGCTAGCAAAGCCCTCAGATGAAGCAATGATGGGCAACTAAGTGGTTGTTTTCCGGGGAATAAAAGAGGGAGTTCGATTCAGCTGACTGGAGGAAAACCGTGGCGCATCATGTGCTCTCAAGCATCAGTCAGCATGGTCTTTGAGCAGAATATTGGTGGGTAGAAAGGTTAGCGCGAGGTTGGTTCAAACAAAGCAGACAATATTGCTTTTTCTCCAGGGAACTCACAAACCGGCGCGTCCGGAGTATGTCTCTTTCACGCAAAAGCGAGGTCGAGGAAATCGAGTAACTGATCACGTGCGAACCTCACCGCCCGCAATATCTAATCGGCGATCTTTTGATAAGGCCTTTTTTTTTTTTTTTTTTGGAATGCGCCGAGCTCGACATAAACAATTCTTTGTATCTTGACTTGTGAAAGGACCATTCCTTTTTGGCTACTACGATGGCCCCCAAACCTCCCTCCGGGACATCTGCCCGATCCTGGGATGGTGTGAATCCCCCACTATCAGAATGGGTTCTTGAAGCTGTCTCGTCCATGGGCTTCACGCGGATGACGCCCGTACAAGCATCCGCCATTCCTCTGTTTATGGCACATAAGGATGTTGTGGTTGAGGCTGTTACTGGAAGTGGAAAGACGCTTTCTTTTTTGATTCCAGTGGTGGAAAAGTTATTGCGCGTGGAGGAGCCGATCAAGAAGCACCACGTTGGAGCCATTATCATTTCGCCGACGAGGTAGCTCTTCCCCTGTCCCAATTGATTGATGCACGCTGACACATATCAGGGAGCTTGCTTCGCAGATCTACAAAGTGCTACTATCGCTATTAGAATTCCACCCTGCCTCGGCCGCCGCCATCAATCCCTCAGAAGACGACGATGCGCCCCGCAAGAAACAATCCTCTACCTACAAGGTCGTTCCGCAGCTTCTCCTCGGAGGCGCAACATCACCCGCCGAAGACTTGAGTAACTTCCTGAAGCGCTCGCCGAATCTGTTGGTTTCTACGCCTGGACGGTTACTGGAATTGCTTTCGTCGCCTCACGTCCATTGTCCTCAGTCGTCGTTTGAGATGCTGGTGCTGGATGAAGCTGATAGACTTTTGGATCTTGGGTTCAAGAATGATCTTCAGAATATTCTGCGCCGGCTGCCTAAGCAGAGACGGACGGGGTTGTTTAGTGCTAGTGTCAGCGAGGCAGTGGACCAGATTGTGCGCGTTGGTCTGCGCAATCCCGTCAAGGTTATAGTCAAGGTGAAGGGGTCATCTGGTGCTTTGGATAAGCGGACTCCAGCCAGGTATGTCAGCTCTTAACCCATGAACTAAGGAAACTGACTGACCAAATAGTTTGCAAATGACCTATCTTACCGTCCCCGCCCTCCACAAATTCCCAGCCCTCAAAAAGATCCTCTCCTCGGTCCAACCAACACCCCAAAAAACAATCTTCTTCGTCTCAACCTGCACAGGTGTTGACTACCTCGCTGCAATCCTCCCCTCAATCCTTGGCAACGAATACTCCCTAATCCCCCTCCACGGAAAACACCCAGCAACCGTCCGCCAAAAGAACTTCAACGCCTATGTCAACTCCCAAACACCTGCCATCCTCCTAACAACCGACGTCGCCTCCCGAGGCCTGGATATCCCATCAGTCGACCTCGTCGTCCAGCTCGACCCACCCGCAGATCCAAAGACATTCATCCACAGATGCGGTCGTGCAGGCCGTGCCGGCCGTCGCGGCATCAGCGTAGTCCTCCTCCACCCCGGCCGCGAAGAAGACTACGTCTCCTTCCTCGAAGTCCGCAAAACACCCGTTACCGCATTCCCATACCCCATCGAAATCACCGACGAAGACGCAGCAGCAGCCACCGAAACCGCGCGTAAAATCGCCCTCAAGGACCGTGCGTACCATGACCGTGGCCAAAAGGCTTTCGTCAGTTGGCTCCGTAGCTACAGCAAACACCAAGCAAGCAGTATCTTTCGCGTCGCAGATCTCGACTGGGAAGGATTAGGCAAATCATGGGGTCTGCTCAAACTCCCCAAGATGCCCGAACTGCGGAATTTTACCGGTGACCGCACGTTAGGCGTTAAGATTGACTGGGACAACTACACCTACAAGGATAAACAGCGCGAAGCACGACGCAAGGAAGCCCTGGCCGAATACCAGAATGGAACAGCCGAGGACAACCAGCAATCGAACAAACGACCTGCAAGCGAGAGCGTCGCGTGGAGCGATAAACTAGAAAACAAGAATAAGAAGGCTAAGAGAAAGGATCAGAAGAAGGCGAAGCAGGACCATGCTAGATGGGAGCGGATGACGGAGGAGGAGAAGCAGAAGGTTCGGGAGACGGAGACGATGCTTGCGGAGATTAAGAAGAAGAATGATGAGGAGAGGAGGTTGAGAAGGGAGGCTAAGAAGGCTGAGACCGTGGGTAAAGGTGCTGCTGGGGATGGTGCTGAGGAGGAATTCGAGGGATTTGATTGAATATATCGAATGCTGAATGGTTTATCGTATTGTCTCTGTGATACCTTACCTGCATATGTATCTTAAGAAGTTGAATAGACATGCCCTATCCACGCCAGTACCAACCCAACAATCAAATATCAATAAGGCAATCCATGGTTCACCCCAACCTCCCTCCCCCGATAAAACCTCACTTGCTTTCGTCCTGGTCCTCGTCCAAATTCAGCGCCACCAACAGATCCAGTCCCAGACCCAGTTTGAATCACCCCAAACCCGAACCCATTCCCAAACTCGAATCCAGACCACAACGCAGACTCAGCCCTAATACTGACACTCTCCTTCCACTTCTCCCTCAATCGCATGACAGGTACCGAGATCGGCTCTCGTCTGAAGAAGCCTCGCGGTCTCGTTATGCGTGGTGTGACACTATTCGCGGAGATAGCGGTTGGGGTTGGGTTGACGGCCACGGGGATGAGCATGTTTCTCTTTCGCTTCTGATTCTGCGATTGTTGGAGGGTGGTGTGGCTATGGAGAGTGTGGAAGGGAATTTCACCACCACCACCACCATCATCATCATCATCATCATCATCATTCCCGTCATTCTCATCATCGCTGTCAATATCCATCGCACTAGAAGCAGAACTTACATCCATGTCCATGTCCATGTCCATGATATCCGTGGTATCCTCAATCTCACAATGCATCTCTTCGACTTCACACAAGGACAGCTCTGACGATTCGTAGAGTGATGCTTCTGCTTCCTTGTGGGAAGAATTGAGCTGGTAGAAGCCCATTTCGCTTTTGCTATTTCTCGTTGATTCCGATGGGGCCCGAGAGAATAGAGAAAAGGACAGGTTCAAACGATAATTGATTCAAGCTCAGTAGGAGCTGTAGTTAAATAGCTGTAACTCTATATGCTCTTTGTTCCCTATACTGGAATACACCGTCGGTTCAACGAGACATCCCGGTTCTCCATTGTTCAAACAAAACCACCATCTGCTTCAAAATTACAAAGAATCAATGTCTATGTGAATAAATAATGCTTCATTGTTCCAGTCTCGATTCTCGATTCAAAAACCGCTCAGATGCTTTGCTAAATTCGAATGCTCAAACGACGACAATGACAAGAACAAAACAGCCCAGCTCCATGCGAATGTGGGGTAACTCCAACAGAAACAATAAATAACAATAACCAGAAAGGGGAGGACAAGGTTGTTCGTATAGGCATCCACCAAGAGGGCCTTCGGCCGCGAACGGGGATGATTCTAAAAAGAACTGAAACAAGGGAACACCTGCACTTTTATGGCCCTTCAACCACTCAGTTATGAGTGGGAGGTCCAACGGGGGCGTCCAAATGAAGAATAATAATGGGGAGAGACTGGACGAAGCCCTGGGCCCATCACCATCTCTAATTGAAAAGATGAGAGGTCCACAGGAATTGCCAGTAAGGCAAAACACATCAAATGCGCCAAACTCAAACACAGATATAAACTCGCAAAAAAAAAAAAAAAAAAAAAAAAAAAAAAAAAAAAAAAAAAAAAAAAGAAAACAAATATGAACGATCTAAACAAGAGTGGCTGCAAATTCCTCCATGCCACGACGGAAAGCCGAATGCCCGACTTCAACGTCAGAAGGATCCCAAACGTTATCCAGGATCTTCACAGCCTCGGTGTTGATTTCCAGGCTATCGACAAGACTGCGTTTCTCGGGCCATGTGAACTTACTGAAATCGCCGGAAGGACAGCGCTCGTAGAGCCACTCAGCATCGCGCGCAAACTGGTCGTCTCCAAATTTCTCAACTAGCTTCTCAACTGGCTTCTCCGGAACGTTCTCCTTTTCACGTTCCTCCGGAATAACATCCTTGGGTTCAGGTTTCTCAAAAGGCTCAACATCGGGCGACTGAATCATCGGGCTCGTGGAGTACCGGCTGGCAGTACGGAGTCCACTAGGAGTCTTCGGCTTGTACTTCTCGGCCTGAGATCGGACCTTCGCAAGAGCTTCCGCGTCGACCTTGGGCGTACTTGGCGGAGCAAAAGGAGCGACACGAGGAGCAGAATGAGGCGATTGCAAACTGAAAATGTTAGTATGATTGAGTAAAGAACATGACGCAAGGTAAACACACCTTTCCTGAGCCTGACTGCGCGGGGTCGCGCGAGTTTCAGGCAAAGTGCTGGCAGGTGACAGAATTGCCGGAGTGGACGCTCCACTCGAAGAAGAATCATCAGAGATATCGTCGTAGTCAAAACTGAAAGATCCCTGACTGTTGAACTTGAATCCAGGGGGCCGCTGGGTAGGCGATCCGGTAGCGGTCGGGGTCGCTGGCGCAGTCTTCGTGGAATCCGTGGCCGGAGTCGGTGACACATCGCCCAATCCCAAGAAGTGATGTCCTTGGTAGGGATCCGTTGCGCGACCACGCTTTTTCGAAGGAGTGTCCTCAGGACTAGAATCGAAGCGAACCTTCTTCGATGGGTGGCTCTCGGACCGGAGCGCGCTGCGAACTGCAGACTTCGCCAGAGGAGTAGGCTTGGAAACAGATGGGCTCGGCTCCTCTTCTTCATCGCTGTCAGAATAACAGAAGTAATCCAAGTCCAAGCCATAACTACAGCCAGGCGGATTGGGAATCACGTCTGGCGACGGAGCACGTTTGCGCTTCTTGTCCGTGGTGTCGGTGATATCGCGTCCATGTTCCTCTGCTGAGGTTGCAGACGAGGCTTGATCCTGCTTCTCTTTTTCCTGCGGCTGTTCCTTGCTGTTTGCATCCTCCTCAACCGCATCCTTTGCTTCAGCAGCAGGCTCCGGAGAGCGAGGAAGATAGAGGTCCCGATTGATCGGGCGCGGGAAGAGATCATAAGACAGATTGGGCAAAGGCTTCTTGGCGGGTGCAGACTTGGGGGTTCTTCCACCAGGAGCTTTCCATTGTTCAGTTGTCACGACACGTTCCGTGGCAGGAGGCGCCGGAGGCGCAGTAGTCTTCGTAGGAGTAGAAGGTGCCGACGGAGTAGATTGACGTGATGCGGTCTCCGAGTCAATTTCTTCCCCTGATAAAGTTTAACAAACAGGCTACAAGATGTTGGTACGCAATAAAACATACCTTCTTCAGTACGGCCAAAAGATCGACCGAGACGTGGCAGGAAGCGAGAAACAGAAAAGCGGGGCACAGAGTTGAGCAATCCACGGATGTTCCACCCTCTAGGAGTCTCTGGGGTGCGAGGCTCCTGAGGCATAGACTCTTCTATGCTCCGAGAGGGCTCAGAGGATTCGGGAAAGTCAAATGAATTGTGAGGGGCTGGAGGGGCAGGGCTCGGGGATGCTGACTCTGATGCCCGGCGGTCTGCCTCGGTCTGAGCAACGAGCTCAGGAAGTCGGAAAACAGTCGTATGGATACGACCCTGGCGCTCTGCTTGCCGCCGACGAAGTCTCTCAGCATATGGCATACCGTTCGTAGACAAACGACGCGACAGCGGGGCTAGGCGACGAGCCAACGACGTGCTGCCTGGCGGGCGTACTGTCCGGGACCGCTTAACCGACGGGGTTTCACTGACACGACCGGGGGATTCGGCACGTGGGCGCTTCCGGTTCACTATGGTGAGTGTTAGCTGTCGTTTCTCCTTTGGGACCTTCTTCGATAACGGGCTGTTGGGGCTAGGGGACAAAGGGCGATGAGGTTCCAAGGACGTGATATCCACCTCCTGCATACACCCTGGGGAGACAGTCAGGGCTTCCACTGGGCTCAGATCTTCCAATTCCACTCTTTCCGGTTCCCCAGGAATCGGCGAAAACGGATTGGGAAAGCGAAGACGCGCAGACCGAGTTGTCAATAGGAACTGCGGCTCTTCCACAGAGGGCTTCATGATTGGGGCCATGGAGGAGGATCGTATCTATCATCGTATAATAACGTCTGCGTGGACAGGTCCGGTGCACCCAAGAATGGGGCCATACCGGCCTGGGGATTCCACCACAGATTGCCGAACCGGATTCAGCGCCGGCAAGGAATGCACGACCGGGGTTTGGTGGCATATATGGATGTCATGATTGGTATGGCCATGACATCAATGATGGAATCGGTCAGACGTATGTTGCCCAATGATAGAGTCAACATGTCTACGGCATCACTCCACTCCAATGACTGTGCCAACTGTAAAGGACCTCCCTCTGTGAAAAAAAAGCTCCAAGGAATCTAACAATTTTCCGGTTCGCGACAAATCAGATGAGTTCACCCGGGTAGGGGTAGCAGGAGGGGAGATGAGGCCAAGCTTTTGTTCTTCTGCAGCAATCGCCGCATCGAGCTCCTTGCTAATGACCTGCAAAGCGTCGTCCCCGTCGATGGAGAATGTTTGGGACAACTCAGACAATGGTGATCTAAGATAATTGAAATTCCCCAATTCCAGTGTCAAGAAAGCCAAATCGAAATCATTGACCTCGTCCTTGTGTTCCTCGGGTCCTTGGGCCTCTAGTGTAAGGGTAGGGGTTGGTTGAAAGGGTTGGGACTCACAATCGCTGGCCTGAGGTTCCGACAAAGCATCCACCGCTGATGAGGTAACCTCCATAGACTTCTGGCTTTCTTCGTTATTCTCATCGGGAATCTTAGGGAATTCGTTGGCTGTAGTATCGGCTTCGGCTTTGACTTCAGGAGAATGGGAAGTGTCGTGGGTTTCCCGTGATTCTTCCTCAGGAGACTGTTCAGCAGTCCTTCTAGTCGTCTTCCGCCCCGCCCTGGTTTTCATGGCGCGAGTTGCAGGGGCCTTTGTTGGTTTCGACGGGGGTTGTACGGTAGTATCTGTCTTTCTGGAAGCGGCGGCTCTCTTCGTTGTGGCAGTCTTCCTGGTGGTAGTAGTCTTTTTCGTGGCCGTAGCCTTCTTTGCTCCTGTATTATTAGTAGTCGTAGTCTTCTTATTTGTCCTCGACCGCGTGGTGGGTTGTGTTTGAGCTTCCTCGTTATCGGATTGTGAGTTGGACTGCGCACTGGTATGCGAAGTACTTCTTGCTCTCATTGATCTTGTCTGACGAGGAGCATCCTTTTCTTTTTCGAGAGAAAGAAACCCCCCGGGCGAGATGGGTTGCGAGCGGGTACGCATTTTGAACTGGCCTGATTGTTCACCGGCACGAGACTTGACGCGAGGAAGGAAAAAAGAAAGTAGACAAGGAAGTTGCGCTATTCGAGTCTTGAAGTCGTAAATACGGCCTCACTGGAAATTCTGACGTCTAAGCAAAATATGTAGGCAAGGGGAGATGCGATCTAACGAAGATAATGCGAGATGCAGTGCGAAGAAGCGCCGGCGTGGAGTCGTAAAAAGGGAGAACGTGCGAAAGTAAGCTGCGTGTAGGTGGCGTGAGAAGAGGCAAAAGTCGATAAACAAAGAGGCGAAGTGGGAGGGAATGAATGAGGCCGGAGATGGTTGTTAGGTGTCGTCTATTGTGAGTGAATGAAGTCTGTTGTGGTGAGCAGGTCTTCGTAGTGAATGTGGTCAAACGCGAAGCAGGGGGACAAGTATGACCCAGGTGTATTCACTGACTTACCTGATGGGGATAGAGTGTGACAATTCCAGCATTAGATCATTAAATATCTCACCAAGCCTGAGTGAAGATAGCGAAGTCGCTGAAAGTGCAGAGGGAGAAGGAGAAGGCGAGGTTGGAGGCCGAAAAATCGCGAAAAAAAGAGCGACGAGTGACGTCCAGCCAACGTGCAGAATGGAGAAGGCGGTGAACAGTGCCACTTCACCAAGAGAAGTACAGCAGTAAGTATACAAAGTACAATTTAGGCGAATAGAATATCTAGAAACTGGTATTCAATGGAAATATTGTATTTGTTGGGAAGAAGATTGGGGGTCTGCATCTACTGTCTTGCGCGTCTGAGCTGGTGGCACTCATGACTCAATGTACAATCCATTGTGGAATTCCTTTCATTCGTTATACAATAGGCTACTTGAAGTATTGCTTTCGACGTCAAAAGAGAAAGAAAATGTGTATATAATACATGGTTACATCTCTGACATGAGGATATCAAAATAATCGGTCACAAGCTCCACGGCTGTACATGTCGACGCTGAAAAGCCATGCCGATTGCGAGAGGAATAAGGCAGGGAAACGTCAATCCATTACATGCTAATCTCTCCCTTCCAAGCAGCATCCGACAGGCCCAATGTCTGCATCAAATTCTGCCATCTAGGTCCACCCCGCTCTTTTCTCCGCAGATACCTGAGCAGCTTCTGGCGTTTGTGGACGAGAAGGCGGAGATTCCGCTTGTTGTGCTTGTCCTTGTTCGATGTCTGCAGATGCCGGGACAGGTTGAGGATCTTCGAAGTAAGGATGGCAACCTGCACTTCGGGGGAGCCCGTATCCGGTCCAACGCGAGGGGTCTTTTCTGGAAGCTCAGTGCCCGATTGGTTCAATACGGCGGTAGGCTTGGGCGGCAGTATGGCGTCAGTGTTGTGTCGCCCGAATGTCTCAATGCAGTTCTGGATGTTGACGCGGAGACGGTCTTTCGTGTTTCCATTATTGATGTTCACGATTCGTCTAATAGCTTCCTCGGTTTTCAGGGATTCTTCCTCATGTCCCTCCATTGATTCCTTTTCAAGTTGCGGATCTGCGATGTTGCGGTTCACGTCGGAAATAGGTGATGTCAGGTCTTTGGAAAACTCCAGAGTTTCCTGGATTTCTTCGGGTTTGATAAAGTGATTCGGTTTGGCCTCAATCCCTGCAGGGCCCTGCAATTCGAGTTGAGACTTGATCTGCTGGATGAAAGGTGTGGGCTCGGTTTCAATGGGGTCTCCGAGGGAAGCACTCCGTTCCGCCTCGAGGGCTTGCTGGCGGGACAAGTTTGCGGCCTTACGTTGGCGAGACTGAGCCGTAGCGAAGGGGTCATGTCGCTTTCTCTCTCTGGTCTCAGCGGAACCAGCTCTGACGGTGGTTTTCGAGGGGTTCAAAGCCAGCGCGGCGAACGGAGTCTGCACATGAGAAGAGCCTGTTCAGTTAGCACCAGAGTTTTCATACAAGGTATTTGAATAATCTGTACCAGTGAAGGCCTTCAGCGAAGGCTGAAGAATAAGACGTGGAGGCATGGTGACTGATCTGTAGGGGTGCAATTGCCCGCAAACACCTTTGCTCCCAATCTTTGCTCCTCCGAAATCTCAAAGTCCGCGAATCCGGCGCTAGTCCTCATCTGGAATACCAGATCACGTGATATATTTAACTGCCTCAGGCGTGTCGGATGATTGTCGGAACCCTAGCCCTAACGCTCACAACGCCGCAAGCGAAATTCGTCGCCCATCCCGACGCCAAAGTGCGAAAGTTCTCTCTCCGCCTCGCGTCGAATCTTTTCTCTCCCATCACCACCGGCAAGCGCCAGACGATTGATACCTTCAATTTCGCTGTCCTCTGCAATATCAATCGCCCATCATGGCCCCCTCTCAGCTCCCCCCGATTTTCAACCCCACCCCCCAGGACATTGAGATGCTCCTGGCGGCTCAGTGCCACCTGGGATCCAAGAACCTCCAGGTGCACATGGAGCCTTACCTCTGGAAGCTCCGTCCCGACGGTGTCAACATCCTGAACATCGGCAAGACCTGGTACGAAATAATCTAATCACGGGGAGAGGACATGGGAAATTTGGAGAGCTGGATCTAATTCGCGAAACAGGGAGAAGATTGTCCTGGCCGCCCGTATCATCGCTACCATTGACAACCCGGCCGACATCTGTGTCATCTCCGCTCGTCCCTACGGCCAGCGTGCTGTCCTCAAGTTCGCCTCGCACACCGGTGCCACCGCCATTGCCGGTCGTTTCACCCCCGGTAACTTCACCAACTACATCACCCGCTCTTTCAAGGAGCCCCGTCTGATCATCGTTACCGACCCCCGCACCGACGCCCAGGCTATCAAGGAGGCCAGCTACGTCAACATTCCCGTCATCGCTCTTTGCGACACTGACTCCCCCACCGACTTCGTCGACGTTGCCATCCCCACCAACAACAAGGGTCGTCACTCCATTGGTCTCGTCTGGTGGATGCTTGCCCGTGAGGTCCTCCGTCTCCGTGGCACCCTCGCTTCCCGCGAGGCTGAGTGGGACACCGTTGTCGACCTGTACTTCTACCGCGACCCTGAGGCCGAGGAGAACAAGGAGATCGCCGACGAGACTAAGGTCCCCGGTGCTGAGGAGATTGGCCCCGCTGCCGTCGAGTCTGGCTTCGCTGGTGAGAACTGGGACACCCAGGCTCCTGGTGCTGGTGCTCCTGGCACTGCTTTCGCTGCTGCTAGCGCCGTTGGTGCCGCCAGCTGGGACGCCGAGGGTGGTGACTGGGCCGCCAGCTCTGCTCAGCCCGCTGCTGAGAGCTGGGCCGAGACTCAGCCCGCTGAGAACAAGTGGTAGATTACTCTACTGAAAAATAAAAAGAAAAATTGAATGCGGTGACGAGGACAGCCGTTGAGAGGGGCTTTGATTGGCATGGCGACCCCGGGGGGAATATATTTTCGTTTTAAATAATTTCCACGATCTATTTACGACAAAGAGGAATCGCCCTACAACCGGAAAAGAAAATCCCTTGACATGTCTATCCTAGTTCCTGTTCTGGAAAAACTATTTTCTTTTCGTTTCAAAACTCACAAAAAAAGAATCATTTTTCTCACTTCAACGCGCACCCACCCAATTTTTCTACTGGTATCCCCTATCAGCAGTGTCATCCGTTGCATCTCGCCTGTGTTTTTACCTTGATTTTTGTCAACTTCGAGGAGGAATAGCCATATCGACAACAATTGTTCGGCGCTTATGAGGGAAAGATATCCAGATGCTCTACTCTATCTTGTTTTTTTATGATGTGTTTGAGCTTCTGGGGGAAAGCCCTGTGCTGGCAATTCACGAGGTGGACTTAATCGTTGCCTTGGTTTCTCCTTGTATGTTGTTAGTCGTAATGGAAATATGCTGCTGATGTATGGTCCATTGTATTCGTAAGATACTCGGTAGCTTCCGTATTATCGTCGATTGAGCTATGCCACCGCCTTCCCTTACCTATTCCACCGGACATATTCCACCGCCTGTCAATGTACCTGGAAAGTCAGGTGACTGGCCCATGCAACGTGCATTCTGCAGAGTATCGTTCAAAGAGATCGGACCTTGGACAATGCGTGATCTTCTGCTATATTCAGAAATACCGAGGTACATCTTTTTATATCTTTCTAAGTACTAGTACTTGTACTATGTGCGGAGTTTATGTGTTTATGTGCTTATGTACTGTGTAATGAATGTCTCAGGTAAATCACGTTGAGTTAATTTAAGGTCCTCCCTCAAGGCTTAACACAAGCTCTCCTCCATACCTTAACCTTGGCTGCAACCACACCGGAAACGGTCCTCTGCCTCCGGTCTACAATATTAACCATCTTCTGCCAATACTTTCACCCTCTTCTGCAATATCGAATCGCTTCATCTTCCTCTTCTCACTTGTATTCTTCTTCTATACTCCCTGACGTACGCACATGACGACGCTTGAAACGGTTGTCCCCGCGCCGCCACGTTCTGCGACCAGTAGTACTTCTTCCTTCGCCGTGCACCTTGCGACATTGCGTACGACTTAATTGCTGCGACTTAATTGCTTGCATATACATACGCTATACGCCTTAGAACAACCTCTCTCACTATCCTATCGGTTCGCATTGCAGGCATGTCCGTCGTTCACTTCCTGCCGTGAGCTCGCATAGAATACTGGAAGAGACGGATACAAGAAAAGACAGGAAGTAAAAAATATTCAAGAAAGACATACAAAAATGTCCTCGCTAGGCGCCCCAGGACCATTAATAGACAATCAATGGTCCAAGTTGTCGGTCTTCACACAGCAGATCCTCCCACGTCGCTCGCGACCTCGTCCGACTAGAACATTGTTACTCTCGGTCGCCGCGTTCTGCTTGCTGCTTTTCTGGCTTCTGCAATCATCCAGGGAGGTAAGTAGCATGTACCTTGCATTTAATCTGCCAGCCTAACTGACATGACAGCCGGCGATCAACTACTGGACGCAATTCCCATCGCTTCACCCATTCCGCACATCTCCCGAAGACGTTTCGATCCTCATCCCGCATAACTCTACCTTGACTCGAAATGATACCCTTCCTATCAATCTGGACAAGAACAGTCCGTCCTTCCATGTGGTCATTCCTGCGAGGCAGAGAAAGCCTACGCTCTGTCGGCTGATCACGTCCGCTATGATCTTGAATTACCCCCCTCCGACACTGATCAACTATGGGAAGTCGCTGCCGGATGGTTCCACGGATTATGATGCTTTGGTGGATAAGGTAACTGGTATCTACAATTATCTGTCGACCAGTCGCCACGTGCACGATCAGGACTTCGTGCTTGTTCTCGATGAGACCGACTTCTTCTTCCAATTGCCGCCGGAGGTGATGATCGGAAGATTCCAGGACCTCCTCCGTGAAAGAAATGCGAAGCTGCGCAAGAAGTATGGTCTGGTGGAGATAGGCTCCGATGCCTCGCCAGAGATCGTGCAGAAGTATTCCCAGCGGGTGTTGTTCGGCGCGAGCAAGACGTGTGACTTGAACAAGCTGAACATGTCATTGGATCCTGGTTGCGTCACAGTGCCGCAGTCGGCAATGCCTCCTGACGCGTATGGATGGAAGACGGATATCGATTCAGACGTCGCGCTGAACCGGCCGCGATGGTTGAATCCTGGTGTGGCAATGGGACAAGTGGCAGACCTTAAACTAGTCTATGGCCAAGTCCTACAGTTTGTGGAGAAGCAGAGGCGCATAAAAAACGCCGACCACGTCGCATTGACCCAGATGTACGGACGACAGGAATACATCCGAGAACTTGAACGACAAAGAACCTCCAACGGCCTCATGGAATGGCTCTACCGCCAAATAGGCATTTCAGACGCCACCAACATCACCGGCGCTGCAGTCCCGTACCTAAAAACAGGAGCCCGCTACGAATACGGCATCGGCGTCGACTCTACATCCCACATTTTCTTCGACACGACCAACTCCAAACGCGACATGGAATGGCTGCACTACAACAACATCACCAAAACCTCCCTCGTGCAAATGGAACATGGCATCCCGCGAGAACACCGCCTCCTCCTCCCCGAAGACCTCTCCCTCCCATCCCCCTTCTACCACCCCAACCTGACCAAAGACGAAGTCACCAACCCACCCTACAACGACACCCTCGACGCCCTCCCCAACCCCAAAAACCGCTCCTGGCGCAACCTCCCCCTTCTCACATACATCCCCTCTGCCTCCATCCCCGCGCTCATCCACCTCGACGGCAGCCGTGTCACGCGGGACGGGTGGTGGTTAAAAATGTGGTATCAACCCTGGGCCCGCGCACTACTGCGCAAGTACATGCGCACACCACTGGGTTTCGACGTCGCGCAGTCTGCGCTGCTGGGCGGACAGGAGTGGTGGGATTTACGCGGTGGAAAAGGTGGTATTTGGACGGGGCAAGGCGAGTGGATGGATTATGGAGAGGTTTGTGGGGGGCTTGAGAGAGATGTTTTTGAGGATGGGTTTGGGGGTTGGGGGAAGGAGGATGGGAGTGAGGATGGGCCGGTTTATAATCAGTTTGGGAATGTTGTCAAGGGAGGTTAACTGCCTCCCTCTTGGTGCTAGATTGCTTTTTGCTTGCTCGAGTATGGCGTTGGTTGTTTTTGCGGTATATAGATGACTGGTTTGTATGATAGATCTGAGATTGAGACGAAAATGAAACCCAATGCAACACCTCACACCGCCATCCACTCATACCCATTTCTGCCGGCAAAACCAACTTTTTCAAATCCCTCCGCAATCACCACCATTTCAATCTTCACGCCCTCATATTTAAGCCCATACATATACCCCAACCTTCAAGATGAGGGTAAGCCTCCCTCCCACCCACATCGCATCGCGCCTTCTCCCCAACTCCAACCCCAAACCCAACCCCCAGAAAACAGCAACTAATAAACAACCACAGATAATCGACCCCCAAAGCGCAACTCTCTCCAACATCGAAGTCCTAGCACACATAACCTCCCACCCCCCCCGGCGCCCACCCAATCCACCCCCCAACACAAACCCCCGAAACTTCACCCCCAGTCCAGACCTCCGCGACCACAATACCGTCATCAAGGAAATCCACAACTACGTCTCCCGCCTCTCCCCGCACCTCCTGAGCTATCCGCAATATGTGCATGAGGAGGAGATGAAGAGATTGGAGGAGATGGAGGCGTTGGTGCAGGGGCCGCGGCAGGGGCAAGTTGTTGTTGGTAAGGGGGGAAGGGATTTGGGGCCTACGGAGATGGATAAGAGGCTTGGGGGGTTAGTTAAGGGGTTGAAGCCGTTTGGGTTGACGAAGGGGGAGGTTCTTGTGATTTTGAATTTGGGGGTTGGGTTTTTGCAGGCTGCTGATGGTGGTGAGGGGCAGGGTGAGGGTGAGGGTGAGGAGCAAATGGAGGTTGATCAGGGACAGGGCGAGGTTAATGGGGAGGTAGAGGGTGAGGGGCAGGAGGAAGGCGAGGGGGAACTCCCGGCTGAGGATTATGGTGCGTTGGCGCTTTTGGATACGGTTATTGAGGAGAGGGAGGAGAGGTTGTCGAATGAGGATGTTGCGCAGGTTTTGGCGGTTATTCGGGAGGCTTTGGGGCCAGGGAGCTCGTGATTGAAATTTGATATGGTATAGTCTACCTGCATCGGTTATGATTTATGGATCTTATAATTGCATCTTTAAGAACGACTACGAAACAAAGTTGAATGAAGCAATATTATTCACAGTACTGCCTTAACCAACAAGCACCTCTGCGCCATGGATAGATCTGTATATCTCATCCCGTAAATACCACCCAACAATAAATCAATCAAAATGGAAACAGATGGCAAACACATAGGAACGAAAAGAAAAGTGAGTCCAACAAACTCACGGCATGTGATATCATACAAAATGAGAAAGGTCTTGAGCAGCAATCACTTTTATAGAAAAGGGGATTTTTTTTAAGCATCGCTCTTCCGCTTCTTCTTCTTCTTCTTCTCGCCGTCGTCGGCGGCCTCGGACTCGTCTTTCCTCTTGCGCTTTTTCTCGTCGTCGTCCTTGGACGACTTCTTGGATTCCTTCTTGGACTTCTTCAGGTCCTTCTTGCTGACTGCAGTAGGGTTGCCATCTGCATCGAATGTGATCTCGCCTCGTTCGAGCTTGCGCTGGTATCTCTTCACACTCAGACCGGCCTTTTCTGCTGCCTTTTCGAGTTCGGAATCCTTGCTCTTCTTGGACTTCTTCTTGCCAGAGTCTGAGTCGGAGTCGGAGTCGGACTCCTCCTCACCAGCATCAACCATCTCCTCATCCTGGACTTCTTCGATGAGCTTCTTGTCGCCCTTGGACTTCTTGGTTGAGGCAGGCTCGTCACTGTCAAGAGCGTCGGCGTCGGCGTTGTATTTCCGGGCTTCGTTGAGCTCGAACTTCTTAGGCTGGACGGCGGCGCCGTTGGGGGCGATAGCAACACCGCGGGGCTTGATGGGCTTGCCTTCCATACCAGCGAGCTTGCGCTCGAGGTTGTAGCGGGCTTCCGTACCGAGGGCGGACTTGTCCTCTTCAGTAGCGTCATCGTCCCACTCGGCGAGAGCGTCCACACGCAGACCAAGAGAAGCCTTGGCGGCGAGCACTCTTGCCATCTTACCCTTGTTCTTACCGGTGGCTTGACCGATCAGCGAAGCGTGGTAGATAAGACCGTACTTGGGGGTGTCGTGCTTGGTCTTCAAGGCACGGAACAGGGCCTTCTCGGCACCAAGGATCTGAAGGGTAGAGGCAGGGCTCTTGGAGAGGTTGGTAAGGCTACCGGCGTGAGCAATGAGACGAGCGCCAACCAAGTCGCCAACAAGGGCAGTCAGGTTAGGTGCGATCGCGTTCATGCGCGAAGTGAGGTAGCTGGCAAGCTGCTGACGGTACTCAGAGAAACCGACAACCTGTTCGGCCAAAGCCTGAATGTTCTCCAAGTCCTCCTGGCTGATCTCAGTACCCATGGAGCGATCCGCGGCGTTCTTGACGGCACCCTCAATCTCCTCAGGCAGGATCTCGGCAAGGTCGGACGATTCCCAGTTGGCACGCATGCCCATCTTCAGAACGAGGCGCGCATAGGCAAGGTTGTCGTTCAGGATCTTGGCCAATTCAGGGAAATGCCATCCGTACCATTCCTTCACACGCATGGCATAGGTGTTCAACTCCTTGTCCAAATCGTCCAGGAGGGCAATGGCCTGAACAATCATAGTGTCGATCTTGTCGGGCGAGAACTTCAACTTGTGTCTAGCAAGAGAGTGCGACAGACCGAGAGACATCGTAGACATGTCCTGGGGAAGGAGACCAGGGATTAATGTAGGCAGGTGCTCACGGATGGCACGGTAGATGTCGGTGGTGGACGAGTCGGCAATCAATTGAATAGAAAGGTCGGGGAGCTTGCCAATAGCGTTACCTTTACGATTATAACTGTCAGTTCTCTATCGCTGCCAAACACGCGACAATCGCTTCACATACCCAGCTTGGGGTCCGCAACGGCCAAAGACACCTTCTTCTCATCCTTGATCTCGTCAAGCAGGCTGGCGAGACGAGGAGAAACCTTTCCTTCAACGAGAGAAGCAACTTCCTCCAGAGCGGTAGCGGCGCTGTCGAATTTCTTGAAGCTCTTTAGCTTAAGCCTATAGCTCTGTTAGCGGGTTGAAAAATTTTTCCCACTGCAACCAGTGCACAATTTTCTCATCCAATGAAAAAATAACAAGGCAGACTCACAAGTTCGACACGCCCTCAGGAGTAGAGGCCTCAGCAGCCAGATCATCCTTCTTAAGGATCTTCTTGTCCTTGGCCTTCAGCAGGGCATAACCTGCGCTGGTTTCGGTGAGGATGAACAGCGTCATGATGGACGGCCACTGCTCTCAACTGTTACAGTAATTGAACAGTGAGAAATAAGAAGAGAAAAAGGAAGAATAAGGCCGGAGTAGCAGCAACGACCGATGGGCGAAACGACGGGGGAGTGTTGAAGAGTGTCGTCTGCTGCTTTTTTTACTGCTGGCGGGAATTTTTGCAGCAAAACTCAAAAAGTTGAAAAAAAGCGAGGCTGTGGCTGGTGCTGTGGCTGTGGATTATGTAAGGCGGTCGCCGACACATGGACAAGACGTATGCGGACACCTGCTGTACGGAGTATCTCAGGGCATTCAAGCTTGTTGCAATCATGGAGGGATTGTTTTTCAACATCAACGGCGGGTATGTTTGCTTTGCTCTTCGCTATGCTTTTCGCTGTGCTTTTTATTGGGAAGGTGCCTGAGCTCTGCTGACACTCACAGTTACATCGAGGGGATTGTTCGAGGGTATCGGAACAGCCTCCTCAGCAACCAACACTACAACAACCTGACTCAATGCGAGAGCATCGATGGTAAGCTTGCTTAATCTCCCAAGAATCCAACTTGTGCATGAACTGGTCTGACTCCCGCAGATGTCAAGCTCCAGCTAGCTCCCGCATACGGCGACTTCCTCGCCTCCCTCCCCCCAAACCCCTCGACCTCCGCGCTCGCTGGCAAAATGACCGACAAGCTCGTAGCCGAATTCCGGTACCTGCTAGCCCAAGCCACCGGCTCCACGGCCAGATTCCTCCAATACCTCACCTACGGCTACATGATCGATAACATCGCGCTGCTTATCACGGGCACCCTGCACGAGCGCGACACAAGAGAGCTCCTGGAGCGCTGCCACCCTCTGGGCTGGTTCGAGACCCTTCCAGTCCTCTGCGTCGCCACGAACATCGAGGAGTTGTATAATTCGGTTCTGGTTGAGACGCCGCTGGCGGGCTACTTCAAAGAGTCTTTGAGCCATCAAGATCTGGATGAGTTGAATATCGAGATTGTCCGAAATATGTTGTACAAGAACTATCTCGAGGACTTTCATGACTTTATCAACACTCATCCGGATTTCAGCGGTACGCCTACGCAGGATGTCATGTCGGAGATTCTGCAGTTCGAGGCGGACCGGCGCGCGATCAATATTACCCTGAACTCATTCGGAACCGAGCTGTCGAAGCAGGAGCGGAGAAAGCTATACCCGGAGTTCGGAAAGCTGTACCCCGAGGGTTCGTTGATGCTCTCGCGGGCTGATGATCTCGAAGGCGTGACACTTGCTGTGAGCGTGAACGCAGACTACAAGAACTTCTTCGATGCCGTGGGCATGACCGGTGGCGGCGGCGGATTCAGCAGTGGCTCGGATGGAAAGAGCCTGGAGGATTTGTTCTATCAGAAGGAGATGGAACTTTCCAAGGTTACTTTTACCCGGCAATTCACCCCATCTATCGTCTACGCATGGATGAGATTAAAGGAGCAGGTAAGTAACCCTGTTGATTCCATTGATTGACATGTGGAACTAACAGAAATACAGGAAATCCGAAATGTCACCTGGATCTCGGAGTGCATTGCGCAGAACCAGAAGGAGAGAATAGGAAACTTCATCTCCGTGTTCTAAGCAGCGTACTCTATTTTACTTGTTCATGTGTTCCGTCCTTTTCATATCGAGTACCCAGTCTTCTTGTAATGAGCGCATCTCGACTGTTTGTTTCCGTGGGCTTTGTTTTATTGTTGTTTAGGCGTTTGGAGAAATGTTTTTTTTATGTTGTTCTATAGGAAATAAGTTTTTGAATTTGCAGCTTTCCTTTCTTTTGAAATATCGTTCGATGGCTTAGATTGAAATTCTAGACTGTTTTGCTAGATAGTCAATTGTTTTCATTCATAGCGTTAACCAAATCAGATAGCAAGCTATGCCAGAATAGTTTGAACATGATCTTAATCTATGTCAAAAAGATTTTCTGTTTCCTGTTGTCTTCATATATGACCTTTAAATCATTAAAAGAGTATTTTTGCTTTTTGTTTGCCAAAACCGAAAATAAATCGTTCCAAATCATTCATTCGCAAAAGATCACCGGTATATCGAATCGAAATAAATTAAATCAAATCAATCGTACTGGAAGAGTACACTGATACTCTCACCGTGGTGAACACGGCGAATGGCCTATAAATTACTCGATTAATAACCCGTCCAAATGTAACATAATAACATTTGGTAAGAAAATAACTCACCTCGGCAAAAACATGACCAACTTCCAGAACTTCCAGCTTGGGGCATCGGCGCAAGTGTTCTGATTGGTCGACGCTGTTGGTCACGACAACCTTATCGAGGGCGCTGGCGTTGATGCGGTCAATGGCATCTCCGCTCAGGATTCCGTGCGTGATCAGGGCGATGACTTGAGCGGCGCCTTCCTTCTTGACGAGCTTGGCGGCGCGGGTGATGGTGTTGGAGGTGTCTGCGAGGTCGTCGACGAGGATAGCTGTGCGATCCCGTACGTCGCCGACAAGCATCATGGTCGCATTTTGGCGGTCTGTGATCTTTGTTGGGCGGCGTTCCTAGTAACGTTAGATAGTTCAATTAATGTAGCGCGAAGAGACTCACCTTATGAATCAAAGCAAAGTCAATACCCATCGAGTCTGCGATCGCAGTAGCGCGCTTGGCGCCACCCGCATCCGGACTGACAATGACGGCTTGCTTGTAGTTGGGAATGTTCTGCGCAATGTAGCTCTTGAGAAGCGGTCTCCCGTACAGGTTGTCAACGGGAATGTCGAAGAATCCCTGGTACTGAGGATCATGTAGGTCCATGGTGATGATGTGATCTGCTCCAGCGCAAGTAAGCAGGTCCGCGACCAAGGTACCCGCCTGCGCAACCCATTGCCTGTATCCGGGGCGCGGTTGGAAATCGTGCACCTTCAACGAAGAAGTGTTGCTAGCATTGTCATCAAGAACAACGCCGTTCAAGGCAGCAGCCCGGCTGGAATCCGACTTCAACGAATCCAGAGTGTTGCTGCGAGGCAGCCCGTTTGCGGGGCGCTTGTTATTGAGCTCCTCTAATTGAGCTTTGGCAAGGCCCTTTTGCAAACTTTCAGCGTTGTTTGTCCCATTGCCACCGGGGAGTGGGGTTGGTGGGGTACTCTCGAAGGTGAAGCCATTGCTGGAGCCTGGCTTGCCAGCAGGCGGAGCTTTGGCGAGGGGAGCCCCGGATTTGTTGTAGGGAATATCGCTCTGACGGGAGTAAGGGAACAATGGGAGAACCGCAGTCACACGGTTAGCGGATGCGGTTTTGCAAGCGGAAATGGTAATAAGCAGTTCCAGCAACATGTCATTGACCTTTCCACCGCCCGATTGGATAATGTAGACATCTTTCCCACGGACCGACTCCTTGACTTCGACTCTGGTTTCGCCCACAGCGAACTTCGAGAGAAGGACGTCCGCAGGGGGTATCCCCAGAACGCTGCAAATCTGCTGAGTCAAGTGTGGGTGGGAGGTACCACCAATGACGCAAATATTTCGGACCATTGTCGACAAATGAGCGCTTCAATAAGACTGCGAAGGTCGGAAAGGGGGTAAAGGGAGCGTATAGGAGGGACGAGGAAATCTCAGAAGGCGGAGACAAGGGCGAAGTGTTGATGGGGAGGAAAGGTTCCGGGAGTAGTAGGCGATCAGAATCGGTGAAAGGTGGTAGCGGCGGTAGAAAGGAAATTCAAAGAGGTTGGACAAAGACGAATGGAATTGAAAGGCCACTATCTCATGGCGGAAGACGTAAACTGAGCAAACGATGAGGATATGACCGAGGACTAGTTAGAGATGGAGAAGTCGGCATTGAAATCCAGAAACCAACTGAAGTCAGGCAGGCCCAGGGAAAAAAAAAAAAAGCCTCGTTAAGTGGAACCTCGGGGTAATGCATTCTAGCCTCAGGCATGAATTACCGTTTTTGGCTAGCGGATGTCCGAAATAGGAAAAAGGAAAGACAGTGATGAACGAATTCGACGATATCCAGGGAATTGTATAGGTTGCCAGCCATCTCAGAGGCAATAGAAGTGTCTTGCTGAACTGTGTCTGTCTGCTCCCCGGTTACATCGAAGCTCTAGAAGCACACGGTCTGGATTGGCCTAGATACAGGACCAGATTCAAGGTGCACAGCCAAAAGCCCAAAAGAAGCAGAAGAAAAACGACCCAGAAGATGAATTTCTATTACTCCATACCCGATCGTCGTTATGATACAAGAACAACTTTTCTTTAGTAAAAATGCAGACATGCGCATGCGCTTCGTGAAGGCCTGTATGATTTAACAGGGACGATACTCTTAGTCGCCCGTTCCAACTTCCCTGTAATGATAAAGTTAGCACTTGTCCATATGAGGCTCTTGAGGATATGGAGGTGGGTGAAGGGAGCATCGCTCACAGATCCAGTTGGACGCCATTGCTGATTCCATAGTCCTCTAGTGTAAGATGGTCCTTGAACGGTCGTTCACCCTGGCGTTTCAATAAAATCTCATGCGGTTCACGTCCAATGCGGGCGGCCACCTGTGCTTTAAACAATTCTGCGGAGAGGTCAGAGACATCGCGATATGCAACCAGCACGGGAGGGCATACTAATCGGGTCAGACGCAAGACACGGGATCGCAGCCTTCGTTCCCAGGCGGTCATTAACATTGACAACAATCATAGGTTCCGCAGATTGTGCAGCAACAGCAGCCTTCTTCTCCCTCTTCTCTCTCTTCCTCTCCCGCTTTTCCTCCTTCTCATCACGCTCTGTCCGTTCCCGACCCCGATCACCGTCTCTGCGATCACCATCCCTATACCGGTCTCCGTATCGATCTGAATCGCGATCTCGATCCCTCCGTGGCGAACGTGGTCGATCCCCTCCTCTGTATCCGCGCTCTAATCTGCGGTCGTCGCCTGCGCCTCTGGAATCACCATCGTCGCGTCGTTTTTCCTTCCATCGAAACCCGCCTGTGGATTTTCTAGATTTTTCGCGATCGGGAGATCTGCTTCGTCTGCGGTCATCCATCGTATAAATGCGAAAGTTTCGTAGCGTGAAGTTGGATTAGAATCGGTCAGACAGCGCGGACGCAGCAACGCCATGCAATCAACCGCACGTGATGATGTATTGCGGGTAGCTCCCCGATAAGCGCCTTTCCGTAAGGAGTTTAGACCCGCTGGCCGCCATTCAGGCACGACCAACATCGGAGCTCTTCTTGTACCATTTGAGGAGCTTCAACCCAATTCCAACTCAGCTCTTCAGGGTCGCAGGTGATCCAATTGATATACTGCCTCATAATGCCTAGTTACCTCAAAGTCCGACGTCCATCCCCGACGACCGCCTCCTTCACCGTCTCCAACGCTTCCCAGTGCACGAGTACCCCCGCCAAAGCTCTCTTCTACCTCCAGTTCCTCCTGCGTGCATGTATATTCGTCAGTGTCCTCGCCGTCTGCGCAGCGCGATTACGATCCTCGTTTTTCGCAAAAAATGGGTCTTGGGTGCGGTGGACGGCCGTATGGGCGAGTCCGTTGGGCGAACTAGCCTGTCGCATTGCGGATGAGTATAGTCCTTTGGTCGTAACGGTTGGTAGTGTAATTGCTCTATATGGGGTTTTTAGGAAGGGATATACAGGTGCGTTTTACTTAGGGATAGTTAGGATACAGGGATGTGAGCTAACAATTATTTGCTGGTTACAGAAGAGTCGCTTCTTGTCATACGGGGGTTGGGGATTCAGACGTCTACTTCTTCGAATTCGTATTTGTCCAAGGCTACGACGCGGTTTATTCCTACCACTGAGATTCAGGATATTGTGATACATGAGGCTTTCAAGGGGTTCGAGGTCCGGTTTTACCTTGCTGTTATTGTGGAAGGGGAGCGGAATGTTGTGGTGGTCTTTCCAGTAAGTATACCTGTTCATGTTATGCCGTGCCATATTGACGACATAGAATCTACTGCCGAAACGAGCAATTCTGGAGGAAGTTTGGAGAGGTTCTCGACATTGCCTCTATGACGCGAAATGATGAGGACGCTCTTGGTCCAAAAGCAAGGGTATAAGTCTAATTGCGGCTTTTTCAATCGACCTTATCGGTATGTACATGGCTGTTATATCAATTCTGAGACATTGCTTGGTCCTTCTTCTGTTTCGCCGCAAGCCATCTGGCGTTCTGGTCCTCCACGGTATCCATCTTCCTCTTTTGCAACACTGGCACATATTTGCCTCCTAACCTTGGCTCCTCAGACCCAACAAACACCTTCTGTCCCCGGTGTTTCTTCTCCCAACCCGCGTCTCCAAGCCCCCACCGACTCACGGAGCTCTGGTCACCCTGGCTAACAGCCAACTCTAGCAAAGAGCCCGCCAGGATCTCGTCTATCTTGCGCCGTCTCCAAACGGACCACAAGCTGTCGACCACGCCACCCATCCCGTATTTACCATCGCCCTTGATGCTGTGGGATCTGCCCTGTTTGGAATCACCAGCATAGATCCACTCTAGCGCATCCTCCCGGCTGTTGCTGTTCTGGTCGGGGAAGATACAGTCCCAGAGAACAAGTGGGGCATCCGACGCCATCTCGTACTGCGGTTTGCGGGGGTTCTCGGTTGTTTCTAGCAAATCACGGACAACAGTCGGTGGCTCGAATCCTTGTGCCACGAGGAAAAGGATAGCCACCATATGTCGAACTTGATGCCATAAGAAAGCGGAACCGTCAAGTTTAAATACATAGACCTTAGCTGCTTCAGAAACTTGGTTTTCCGGCGTGTCGGTGTCCATTTGCGAATCAGAGTCGGCAAGAGACTGGAATCCTGATCTGTTCACGAAACCAAGCGGAACGTTCTTGGGATCGACAAGTTCGATTTCTGAGCGGTAAATGATCCGCTGGAAATTCTCAATCTGCTTGGTTGTATCTAGCTTGCAGAAGTTCCGAAAGTCGCGCACGCCCTCAAAGTACTTGGCTGCTTCGCGCATAGCTTCGATATCCAACCAACCTTCTCTGTGCTTTGGCTCTGACCCATCCGGTCTGCGAGGCGCAAAGCCAAGAGGTCCCGGGGTAGGACTGAAGGCAGGCTGGGTGAAGAAGTATCTATACTGACGTTCGCGACAAGAGAACCGAGCATCGAAATCCTCAGGCGGATGCGGGCACCAAGCCAATATTCGAATATCTTCAGGAAGCACACGGTTTAACATGTTAATATAAGGCAATTCATCCCCGATATCATCCCAATTATCCTCCGGTGCATCCTGGATATCAGTCGTACTAGCCTGCTCACCCTCCTTGGGCTCTGGCGCATCACGCTTCGGCCGCGCACTGCGCACCCTAATCCCAACAACCTGCCCAAACGCACTAACCCCACGATCCGTCCTCCCCGCCTTCGAATACTGACACCCCTCCCAATCAAGCAAAGCCACCCTATTCCCTTTCATCACATTCTCATGCTCCGCCGGCGACGGATTCGCAGGGAAAATCAACCTCGTCATGCGCAGCGCCTTCCACAATTCCTCCTCGATCGTCGGCAATGGCGTCGTATTCTTATTCGCATGTTCGAATCCGTTATACCGCTGTCCGAGGTACGCGAACTTCAGCGCGATGAAGCGCGTGTGGTATCTGGAGGGATCCATTTCCCTGTGCGCTTTTGTGGGACGAGTAGGTGCAGGCGTTTGTGTTATGTCGTCGTCAAGGGATCGTTTCTTCAGTTTTTTATTCGGGGGAAGAGCCGTTTCAGTGTCTGTCACTTTTGTATCCGGGGGTAGTACGGCCGCGGCCGGCCTCGTAGTAGTCGTGGTATTTGTGTTGGTAGCATGTTGACTCGTCCGAGAATGCAATTCACGCTCGAGACTCGTGATCCTCGAAATCAGCGTATCCTTGTCCCAGGTCCAGTAATTCGGTCTCCCCTCCTTTGCATCGCAGGATGGCGGGGTTCTCGACATAGTTGCAGTATTCTTCTTGGTGGATAAGTAACTGTAGGAGTGCGATTTTTGTTTGTTGACTGTGGCGATGAAATCGTTTAAAAGAATGGAAGACAGACAGAATCGTCTTTGCAATCTCCACATTCCCTTCTGAAGGATTGGTCGTGTTTGCGATGGTTGAAGTACAATCTTATTAGAAAAAATCGGGGTTGGTAATTTTATTGTAATTTACGTGTATGTTACTATTATTTACAGACTCCGGTCTTATCAGTAGATATCTTATCAGTTTGACTTTACTTCATCTTCATCCAGAACCCTCTTTCAACACCCATCATCTCGTTCTATCAATTGAATTGAAAGTCATCGCAATGACAACCCCAGAGAACCCCGACAAAACAACTATCACAATTCTCCTCCTCGGAGACCCAGGATGCGGCAAATCAACCTTCCTCTCGTGAGTCCCCAATCAACCCAAGCGCAAGGTGTTAGATGATAGCAGAACAGAACAAGCTAACCAGCTTCTTTCTCAACACAGCTCCTTAAAAACTCCCCTTGTCAGACCCTTGCCCTCACACTCAAACAATCCACCCCCGGCCTCAATCACGAAGCCAGAAATCCTCCGCGACACAGGCCAACCTTTCCTCTACGATATCCGCTTCTCGCGCAAATCATTCACACTCGAGTTCTTCGACACCGCAAGCCCGAATCAGCATTGGACGACGCTAAGGCCTGATGTTGTGGTTCTTGCTTTTGATATTTCGGAGAGGGGAGGTTTGGAGGGGTTACGCGGTGTAAGCATTTCCCTATTGTCCTAGGTTCAATGATGTGATATGATATGATGGTGGACTACCATCATGAAGTATGAGTGATTGATAATAACTGGGGTGAATGTGGTAATGGGCAGTGGCGAAACGAAATAACATTACATTTCCAACATGGCTATGGCGAGAAAATCCCCGTTATGATGCTCGGTCTTAAGCGGGATTTGAGAGTTGAGAGTGAAGGTATTATTTATCCGCAGGAGGTATTCCTTTCCCCTTCTATTTTTATTGGATTATGAAGGTAGATGCTGACATAGAAAGACATATCGTATTGCTCAGGAACTGCGCTGTGATCGGTATGCGGAATGTTCTGCTGTTACAGGGGAGTTGCTTGCGGAGACGTTTGAGGATATTTCGAGGATGGGAGCTATGGCGAAGGCGGGGAAAGGAACGGAGAGTGACGGGGGGTGTAATATTCTATAGTGGATTTCTGCTGTTGTTATGGTTGGTTTTTGTTAGGGCTGGAGTTGGACATGATACCCGTTTTTGTTATCGTTTCTGAATTTGAATATAGACATAGTTATGTTGTATGGGCAAGGGGTATCAAGTAAACTACTCCAGGTATATCTCGTCCCGTAACCGCTGCAAATTCCGGAAAATTCCACCTCCAGGTCCCTCACTCTCCTGCCGCCGATGCCCCGTCCTCCCATCATTCCTTTGCTGCTGTCCCTGTCCCTGTCCCTGCCCCGATTCACCTTGGCCCTGGCTCTCCAACAATTTGCGCCTATCTTCCACAACCTTCACCAAGCCCTCCACAAACCTCCCCCTCGCCTTCTCCTCCGCCGTCCCCTTCCACACCCCCGCCAGCCGCCCAATCTCCTCCACTCGCCGTTCCGCAGTCTCAACCCCCTTCTCATCACTATCCAGTAATTCATTAACCTCGGTTCGGAACTTCTCCATCATCTCCTGGCCCTTGGCTTCAAGAGATTGGCTTTCGGGGCCGACGTCTGGCGCGGAGACGGAGATGAAAGAGGATGTAAGTGAGAGTTCGGAAGGCGGGAGCGGCCATTCCATTGCGGAGCCGAAGGTTTGGACGACTTCGTCGAGGCGGGCGCGGACAGCGTTGAGGGTACGGAGATTGGTTATGTAGGAAGGGTCTTGCGCTTTTTCCCCCTCTACCTTGTTTTCGAGGTCGGTTTCTGCTGTCTCTCCCTCTTGTTTTTCTTCTTGTTGATGTTCTTGCTGCGGTACAAACCTCGCAACATCCCCCTCCCCCTCACCAACGCCATCAACAACCAACCCATCCACCAACCCCAGCACCTCCCCCCTGAGCACCTCAACCTCATACGCCAACCTCCCCCCACCCCTTAAAATCTCATCCACCAATGTAGTCAACGCTCCCGAGTATCTAACATTCTGCGCATTCACACTTGACACGACGCCCTGTACCTGCGTCGATAACTCGGCTAGATTGACGGATCCGGGTGCGCGAGAGGCATTGGGTTGTGTGGAGGCGAGGGTTAAAGGTGGAAGAGTTTCGTTGAGGTAGTCGGCGGGATCGAAGGTTGGGGATGTGAAGTTCGGTAAACTGGGGTTTGGGGTGGTGGTGGTTGAGAGGGGGGTAGGTTTTTCGGGGGACGGTTGGGTGCGGATTGGGGGTGTTGACGTTCGGGAGGACATTGTAGGTATGGATTGAATTGTGGTGAGACGTATGTTGGAGATGGAGTAGGATATGGAAAGACTCCGGTGTCGTTTCGTAGTGTTGAGATTCGGGGCAGCTTGCCCTGTAATTGGAAAGCTTATAACATGAGTCAGGGAAAATCCCAGCCGTTCAACCCCGTATTCCGTCAAACTGTAAGATTCTGCACAAGGAAGCAGCAATGGATGTTGAATCTCCCAGACTTGGACTCCGTGGCCGATAACTGATAATATTGTTCACCGCCTTTGGCAGTATTCTGTTTACGGTCTCCATACAATAAGAATTGCTATAAATGATTTCTATAATGCTTCTTATGATTAAGAGCTAACTAGCCGTGGTTGCATAGCAAAAACAACCTGGAGAAAGAGGGTATCATTTAGATTGACAAGCAAACAAGCAATAAGCACAGGACCTGCACCTGATAAAAGAGAGCAAGACTGGCAGGGTATAAGACAGATATTAAGCTAGGGTAACATTATCGTATCCTCATGGAGAGAGGGGGAGAGAGAGAGAAAAAGGGTGGAATGCGTCAGAGAGTGGCTTAGATGTCCTCGACAACACGGGAGTTCACGGCACGTTGGAACCCGTCGTCTTGGTATTTGCTGGGCCCTTCGCCCACGCTGTCGGCGGTGTTAAGTTGTTGTTGCACAGTTTGATTAACCGCAGGCAAGAAGATGACCTTGCTGTTGGCGGTCTTGGCCATAGATTGCATTGCCTCGAGGTAGCGAATTTGCATGGCAGGGGCGGACGAGAGGATGTCGGCGGCCTGAGCACGTTAACATACAGTCTATGGCATATAACAAGGGGAAACATACCTGACGCATCAACTTGGCCGATTCAACCTCCGCACGAGCAGCAATAACCTTACTCTCACCGATCCGCTTAGACTGAGCAGCCATGGAGAGCGAATCCTGCAACTCATCACTGAAGATGATATCCTTGACCAGCATGGACTCGACTAAAACACCCCAGGTAGCAGCGACATCTTCAATAATCTCTGAAGTCGACTGAGCGATCTCCTCGCGACGCTCAATGACATCCTGCAGCACGCGTGCACCGATCACATGGCGCAGTGTTGTCTGGGTTCGTTCGATAAGCGCCTGTTTGATGTTCGTAATGCCAAAGGCAGCCTTGTGGGGCGAGGTGACTTGGTAGTAGATGACGGAGGTCAAGGTAAGCGAAACGTTGTCTTTGGTCATGCAGATCTGGCGCGGAACTTCAACGATCTGAACTTTGACGTCGACGGTCTTGAGGTCCTCACTGAGAGGGTTGACCTTGACGAGACCGGGGTCCACGGATCGTTCGAATCTATTCCCGTCGATTAGTCGCGACAACTTTATCACAAAATAAAGGGGACTTACCGCCCAAACTTGGAAACCAGACCAACTTCACCCTGCTCGATCGGCTTAAAAGGGTTGGGGCAGCAGAAACAGCAAGGAATAGCACCCATACAACCGAGAATCGAACCCAAGCCATGAATCATACCCGCATACCAGCCATGCGCAGCGGGATTCTGGCCATCCTCTTCGATTTGGTGGGCGTATTTGGGCTGTAAGTCATCGGGTCGCGGAGGTTGCACGTTGACCAGACCACCAGTCCGTCGATCGCCCTCATTCTGCGCGACGTGCTTGCCAGTATCAGTAGAAGCAGACATTTTGAAGTTTATTTTGCAGTGGTGTTAAAACTGAAAAAGGACTTTGGAAAAGTTGTGGAAATAAAAAGCAGAGGAATGCGGGAGTTTAAGTAGGGGTTCTTCGTGTAGCTCCGCGATGACAGATTGGGATCGACCGTGGTTGGTCTCTTGTCTACAAGGCTGAGTTGCTGTTTCCCCATCTTACACCACCAATCACAGCGACTTCGAGCACCGCCTTCCGGTTGCAATACGAGCCAAGAGGCTTGATGAAGGATTCATCATGAATAGGGAATGACGCTGGGCGTTTTCCGTGCCGATTTCTAGATGTTTTCTGGTTTTCTACTCAGTAGTCTGTGTATTGTCCTAGTGTGGGGTGCATAGGCCTATGCGGACCTTGGATAAGCACGGATACTTACTCCATAGTAACTGCGATCCTCCGAAAGCAGCATTGCCTATTCTGTGAAGTACTGACTACTAACTCTTTGAACCCAAGGCATCCTCAGCGGTCACTCCGAATCTCGTATGACCAACAAAGGATTCAATAGTGTTCCATGACCACTCCATATATGAGGTTGACCGCCTTGCCCGGCGCAATGGGGCAGTGTATAGTTAACTCTGTTCTCCAGTTCAGAAGAGCTAGTTTCAAGACCACCGGAACTGTCTTTGGTATGTTACTTCATTTGCTGCTGTCATTCGTTGCTCAGAAACACCGCCCCGGCAATGGTCTGTCCAATCAGCAGATGTCGGGATATCCCGATATCAAAGCTTGGCATTTTTTCGCACAAAATAAATGAGAAGTTGCAAAATAGGGTAAGAACTTTCAACAACTAGCATCATTGGTCTAGTGGTAGAATTCGTCGTTGCCATCGACGAGGCCCGTGTTCGATTCACGGATGATGCATTCTTTTTTGCTCTTCGTTTTTGCTGTGCTCTTCAGTATCTTCCAATCTTTCTTTGCATTCAAGTCTCTTCTATGATGGCATCGTCAATATAAGAATAGGGTCGGTCGGCTTTAGCGATCATTTCCGGTTATAAGCTACCAGCGTGGTTGTTGTTGATTCTGATATAGAATCAATTTTCTGGGATTCAACGTCTGGCTGGCTTTTGAGACTACAAGCAGATTGAGGGATATATATATTGCAGATCATCTTTTATCTAGCCTTATAAGTCACTCTTAATACTTTCAATCATTTAGATTCAGTTGTTAATGGGCCATGTGTATACGCGCATTATATACACGCCTCAAATCTATACTGCACTGCGCACCATTACCAAGGCAATTGCAACGGCGTCGGCAAGTCGCCCCCAAGCACATCGTCCGCAGTGCCAATGTCACTATTAAAACAAACGTTAGCTTCGCCTTCATACCATAACAAAATGGAATACATACCCAGGACCCCGTGGTGCCCAGTACTGTCCCGTCTTGCTGATATTGAAGCCATCTATGAACGATGCGAGTGACTCGGCTGATTGGTCGGGGGTAACAGCTGCAGTCATCGTAAGCATTCATCCTGAAACAAAGACCAAGATGAACTCACCACCGCCAGCATCCCAGAACTTATCAAACCCAACACTCTTCGTCATCTCCGTCCGCATAAACCCCGGATGCACCAAGCCAACCGCAATACCCTTGCCCTTCAGATCCAAACTGAGCAGCTTTCCTACCATATTTAACGCGCTCTTACTAGCGTGGTGTCCATAATTCCCTCCGCCTTCCTTCTCATGTCTCAATGTAATACTTCCGCTCTCACTGCTCACAAGAATCACCTTACTCCCTTCGTCCAGATAACCTGCTTTCACAAGATTCTGCACCACGAATACCGGACCAATCGCAGACGTCGTGTACATCTTCACCTGCTTCTCCCAGTCTGGGTTATCGAATGATTCGAAGCCGAAATAGCCCGCTGTGATGATTGCTGTGGAGAGCCTGGTAGAGGATGGGAGTTGTGAGGTGAGTTTCTGACCGACATCTGGCTGGGAAACGTCAATATCCGTGAGCCATGTGGTGCGGGATTCACTGCTTTCCGGGGCAGGGTTCCCGCGTGCGGTTGCGAAGACGGTCTTGGTGGATGGGTTGGAAGCATAGAGCTTCCGTAGGGAGGCACCTAGGCCTCTGGTAGCGCCGAGGATAAGGATGTTGTTACTCATTCTGCTCGTAGTGTACACCGTATGGGATATACTGTTCAAATGTCCTATAGGATCAGTCGATCAATATAGGAGGAGAGATGTTTATATCGAAAACTTGATGCAACACAGTAGACTAATGACGTCAGATTTGATGTACAGAGTGCGTGATCAATATCCACCTGTATTGGACAGTCTCCATGATTGTTTTACGTCCAATCATATGTCTCTTATTCCCATCCATATTTCTGTTCTGTCTAATCCACTTGTCTGGCGCGTATCTGATCTGCTGAAGATCTAGAATCGTTATCGATGTTCTATTTTCGTTATCAATCATGTGATATCACATGACCCTTGCTGTTTTGGCTTAGTCATATCCCCTCTCTGAAGCGCCGAATACAGCCATCGAGTCGTCTGAATTCACGACTATTAGACACCTTCAAAGTAAAAATTGTATCTTGACGACCTCTTCGAATGTGGAATTGACATTGGAGCTGGCCTCCTCGTTTTGTTTTCTCGCGGAGCTCGACGATGAAGCCCATCGTCCACTTGTTGCTTCATGTGAAAAGGGCCCGGTCTGCGCTTGACAGGGGCAGGAGAGCGGATACAAAGCAGAACAATCCGTCTAGACATACGGTTATTGGGGAATCGAAATCGTCGGCATCAGTGTGAGTTTCCCCCGACAATTGAGTGCGATATCGTCTTCTGGGCGGTAGATGTTGGAATTGTCGCTGATCAGATCACTCTCATATCACCAGAGTCGGTAAAGTGAATCCAACGCCCACGTCCTCCCCTTGGGATCTTCTTCCCGTCGAGATTCAAATAAAGATATTCGCGTATTGCGGCGTCAAAGATCTCCTTCCCTTGCGACTCGTTTGCCGCGGCTTCTACCAAGTCCTCACCTCCCACGAACAACTGATAAGTCGGCAGTATCTCCGCCAGCGCCGACACGGAACCCTCCCTTCCCCCATTGAGAGCGAACGAACTTATACTCGGAATCCGGAAGACGATGTAGTGCTTTTATCCGATCTTTTCCCGCCAGCGAAGAGCGCCAAGGGCGGCCATCTATATACATTTAGATATGTACATAGCCTTCGGCGGCGACAGAAGCTATGCTCGAGGCTATGCTATTATCTGGCAGACCGGGTTATGGATCGGTTTGTGCAATGCGAAAATGCGTTTATGAAATCGATGTTTCCTACAAGGAAAGAGAAAAATGCGCTGGTTCAGCGTGGTATAGCAAGTCTGTGGTTTAACCTGACGCCGCTCATGTAAGTGGTTCACCAAGCGTTGATTGGCATGTTCTGACATTCCGTTCTCTGACAGGTATTATACATTATATTTCCTTGAATCATATTCTCTCGCCCGGAGAGAACATACAAATACCCTTCTACGCGAGTTCGAAGCCGGAAGGCTCCCCGTCCCTATTCCGCCGCACCTCCGCAGATCCATGTACCGGGAACTGCAAGTCAGAATTCTTCGATCGCCTCCGTTCACCGATACTTCTACCCTTATAGCCACACATCATTGTATGCAGCTCCTCCTTTCCTACTTACGATATACCGTCCCACCCGAGCAGGGCCTGCAAGACGACGGCTGGATCGGCTCACTGCTCACTGTGTCACCATTCCTACGCCTTGTCGAGTACTTCTCCGCCGAAATAGGCGATGGCGGCAATCAACGCCTGCAACGGAAGGATTTCATGTATAACTTCGATAACGATATAATGATGCACGAGAAAGATGATATGAATTCATTGGTTTTCGAGCGGGCACCTAACTGGCATGCCCACCATTCAGCAGCTGATATTTGGTTTGATGCTGCTAGAGAGGAATTGGCTCTGAGGAGTGCAATTCCGCACGATACGGAGAAGATCTGGATCTGGAATCAAATCCCGTTGCTTTTGGGGTGTCCGCATTGTCGCGATGAGTCGGATGATTGATATGCATGACATCGTCTCTCATTTCTATTTCTCCGTTCTCTGTTGATTTTTTTTTTTTTTTTTTTTTTTTGGGTGACGTGTCTATATAGTGCATTGGCTCTGTTGATTGGAGTTGGTAACGGGAATTAGCATGTTGGTTGTTTGGCGTTTATACAATTGAATGTTGCTTTGGCACTGGTATATACACTTAGACAGTTAGATTGACAGCATATGGGTATCAATCCGAACATACTATACAGTCCTTAATACTGTCGTACCTCTGATAATGTAGCAGCCCTAAACCCTATCTGGGAATCTTGGCATTTGTTTGCCATGTTTGCCCCGTCGCGTCTCGGCCATCGCCAATCTACATCGTTCTCTGCCAATAAATAACATAGCAATATCAACACTCCTTAAACTCCAATTTGGAATAACACAATGACACAAACCCCTCACCACCTCCTAAACACATCCTGGACCCTCCACCGCCTCTCCCCCCTGCACCACGACAAGGAATTCCAATCCCTTCTTGACAACCCTACTGCCCTCAATACATATGCAGCACGTCTACGAGATCTGTTAACAGGGGACGTTCTCTCGGGTCTACAGTCGGGTGTACAGACTGGTCTTGGTGCTGGCGGCGTCGCAGAAGACGACACGCTATCAAAAACAGGTGTGCTGAAATCATGTATTTGGGAGGCGATACCGCAATTCGACGATACCTTTACATGCGAAGGATATGGGCAGACAGGAATATTAATCACCCTATCCTACGAAACCACAACATACAAAGCCGCTTTACTAGCGTCACCTGATAGCAATGCCCATGCTACCTCCGCGCCACGCAAAGGCTTAACCCCCCTCCCCCTCCTCCTAACGCGCCTTCCCACTCCCCCCCGGCAAACCCTCCTCACTTTCCTCTCCACAACCTTTGACACATACATCTCCCCGCTCCGTCTCCCGGCACCATTCATGTGTAGCGGACTAGACACCTATGTGACCACGTTCCTATCCAGCGGTGCGCGCGACGCGGCGGGTATCCTGGAGAATGTTGTGCGGGATGTGCAGCTTACGGTGACATTTTCGGGGAGCGTGGCACCGAGTTTGAGAAGTATGGGGGTGGGCGTGCCAAGGGGGATGATTGGGGGTTTTTTGTGTGGGAATGGTGGTGGTGGGGAGGGGTTTTTGGGGAGGATTGAGGGTTATTTGGAAGCGCATTTGGCTATGAAGTTGGATTTGAGTACTGCTGGGAATAGGAATGGTTTGGCAAAGCAGCATGTGCGGGTGTCGAAGATTGCTTGTGGGGGATTCGTTGTTGGGAGTGAGGGGCGGATGAAGTTGAGTGCTGATTTGGGACGGCAGTCCGGTGGCACTGGGAATAGAGATGGGGATGGGGATGGCGAGGGCTCGCGCGTGCTAGGTGAGAAGGAGAGGCTTGAGTTGAAGGCAAATCATGCGTTGCTTTTGGGGGTTTTGCGCAGGGCTGTTGCTGGGGAGGGGCAGATGAAATGATCGTGATCGTCTACAGGTCACCTCTACGGCAAGTCTCCTTTTCTGTCGACACATATACGCATACAGATAGTCCCTAATGGATAGGGGCTATATTGCTAAGGATATGGCATGTGAAAAGTGGAAAGGAGAACCGGCTCACATTGCAAAACTATGCTACAATTTCTAACATGCAATATCATCATGCATATATGCGAGAAAACAATTTTATATCAACAACCGCCCCCACTACACCAGGGACCCCATTTTCCAATGGATCTCAAGAATCCAAAATACGCTCCTCAGTCTCAGCCAACCGCAATGCATCATCGACCCTAGGCAAGAAATGCGACAGGCCACCACATTCCTCCACAATACCGCTTCTCTCGAACCTTCCGAAAACTTCGCGATTAGCGAGACGACAGAAGAACACCCTTGTGCCGACATCCGCATACGACTTCACGATTTCGAATAGAACTTGTGTTCCCGAGCCGTCGATGCTGGTTACTCCATGCACGTCGAAAATGATGTTCTTGTTATGCTCCGGAGGCCGCATCCGAGGAAGAGAAGGATGTGTGTGGGTCGAGCCGTAATATTCCAGACGGCGGAGACGGTTTTTCAGGTCGCCGGTGTTAGCGAAAGTGAGAGGTTCGGGGATTTTGACGATCAGGGCGCCTTCGATCAGCTCGACTTTCTCAGGGTGTAGTTCGGCGTTGTCGAAGCGGTCGTGTGTACCGGCAACTTTGCCTAGAATCTGAATTCGGGGTTGCGTGGAGTGGCGGATCAAGATTAAGATGGAAAGGCCGATTCCGAGAGCGATTCCTAGTTCCAATGAATAGAACATGGTCGCGACGAAAATGAGAAGCATTAATGTCAGTTCTGACCAGCCTCGTAAGCGGATAAAGAAAGCTACATCGTGGGGACATTCTTCGATGAGGGAGAAAGCAACGACGGAGATCATGGCGGAAAGGACTCCTTTCTAGACCTAGTCAGTAGGCATTCTCCAGCACGCCCATGGCGGACAACTTACCGGGAGGTAGTAGAGATATGGCAATAACACCATGATAGAGATAAGCGTGATGATACTAAGGAAGATACTGCTCATCGGAGACCGTGCTCCAGTGGAAGCATTGACCTTACTCCTCCCGTAGCCCCCAAACGCAGGAAGCGCCATGAAACACCCTCCCACAACGTTCGAAACACCCAACGCTACCATTTCTCGGTTGGCACTGACAGTCATGCCTTTGACACCATCAGTGGTACCCTCACCGAGACCCTTGGCCGCGACAGACGACTCAAAAAAGCCAAGGATTGCAATGATAAACGAGGTGCTCAAGGCTGCACGAACGCGCCTCATATCACCAAAGTTGAATGGCCATTCGAAATCGAATATTCCACCGCTGTCATTCTTGGTTTCCCCCAAGATATCTAGTCCTTTTTGGTCCCACCCGAAATGCCACGTAAGGACGGCTGAGAGGATGACCACGAGCAAGCGATCTGGAAAGTAAATGACCTGGGGAAATCGGGATTCGAGCACCTTTTTAATCGTTCTTCACACCAACGATGATTAGCCAAAGATTTAACGCAGAGAACAAGCACATACCGGAACATCATGATAATGCCAAGGCTGCCAAGAGATACCGCACTTGTCAAGCCATGGCATTTCCCTATGTTTCTGAAAAAGAACACCAACTTTTCCACTGTCGTGCCATGGCTCACGCCGGTTTCCTTGGATAGTCCCGTTAATCCAACCTCCGGAATAAGCTGGTCCACGACAATCACGAAACCAATGGCGGTAATGAAACCCCTCAGAAAGGGCCGACTCAGCACGTTATCCAGAAACCCCAGACGAGTCAAGCCAGCAACCAATATCATGACACCCGCCATGGCAGTTGCCACACCCACGACCATCGCATTTGCAATTGGGTCATCTTCCCCCGAGTGTCCTTGGCTAACGCTGTTTTTGACGATTTGACCGACAAGCAAGGAGCCAGCCGCTTCTGGCCCGACTACCAGTAAAGGACTGCTTCCCAGTATCGCGTATATAAATGGATGGAACACAAAGGCATATAGACCATTGACAGGGGGAGCATGCGCTAGGTTCTCGGACAGGGATAATGCCATGGGAATATAGATCGATGCGACGGTCATGGCGGCAATCAAGTCGCCTCGAATGAATGATAACCGATATTGGGTGATCCAATTGAAGAACGGGATGTAGTATGACATGTACCTATTTTGCATCAGATTAGCTTCCAAAAAAAAAAAGAAAATTCATTAGCCCCAGCATACAGGGTTCTGCGGTTTTTCAAAGGCAACGTTGAAACTGAAGACTCCAATGACGGCACAGTTTCCGATCTGGGGCCCAGCTCAGGCCGAGCGCGACTAGACTCTCCCGCAAGCCCATTCCCATCATTGATGGGTGGTGGCATAGAGCTTGCATCCCACGATATCTCTCTTTGATCTTCCGGTCGAGGGGAGAACGTGCCGTGGTTGCAGGTTCTCTTTCCGCATATCGGGTCCGAACGGTCATAAGATTCTAGCAGACGAGTCCTGGCATCTGGCGCACTCATCAGGGGCTGTCTCGTATCTTCATCACCCCGGGCATGTTGATGTTCCGGGGTTGTTGAGGCGTTGGTTTGATATGAAGTACGAACGACGTCAACAAGCCAATCTCGTAGAGATTGACGTGGGAGATCGGATTCCGCCATGCTCACACACACACACACGGTCGGCGTGATGGAAATGTAGGGGGGGAAATCAAAATATCCCAAAATCACCGCCCATAAGAATTAAAAGAGAACTATGCACAAGGAGCAGGGGAGGAAAGAGTGGTGTAATGCCAAGTTAATGGGCATCAAGGGCGGTGGCCAGTTAGCGGAAGTGTAAACCGTCCAGACAAAAAGACAAAATTTGGCCCAATATGCATAGTAGGATTAGCATGGAAAGATGGACAAATCAAGCAGCTCAGAGACGCCCATGTGTTGTTTATTATGTCTCATGTCTCATCATAACTATCCCCTCTTTGTTGTTTAGTGATAGCCTGATAAAGCGATAAGCGTCGCGCTCTCTTTTTGTCGCTTTTGCCGGGCGGTGTCGATCTCCCTGACACGTGACATTTCTGCCATTATGGTTACTGTCGCCGCCCTGATGTGGTGCAGGTTCCTAAAGTGGGTTTTGAGCCGCCACAAAGCGAGTCGAATTGTGCCGCCAGTTTCTCTCATTCTCCGGTTGATTGTCACTCGATTCGTCCACGGAGCATATCTACCACATATCTCTCCTTGATACCTCGCCGACAATTCTGCTTCTATTGGGACTGATTTCATTTCCTTTTCGCGTGTTCGAGATCTCTGCCTGTATCAGGCGCAAACCCCGCCAAAATGTCTTTAACAAATTGCCGTTTCTACGAGGAGAAGTTTCCTGAGGTGGACAGCTATGTCATGGTCAACGTGAAGCAGGTATGTTCAAAAGAGGCTACTGTTTGAAAGAAGAAAAAAAAAATCTAATCGTTGTTGCGTTGGGTTGCAGATTGCCGAAATGGGCGCATACGTGAAGCTGCTCGAGTACGACAACATCGACGGAATGATCCTGCTTTCCGAACTTTCGCGGAGACGTATCCGTTCTATCCAGAAGCTCATCCGTATCGGACGCAACGAAGTCGTTATTGTGCTCCGTGTCGACAAGGAGAAGGGTAAGGGAACCCAGGTCGAAGCCAGAGAGAACGGACAGTGACTCATAGTGTTCAGGATACATCGATCTTTCCAAGCGACGAGTCTCGCCCGAGGATGTTGCCAAGTGTGAGGAGAGATACAACAAGAGCAAGGCGGTGCACTCGATTATGCGTCACGTCGCAGAGGCTACCCGGACTCCGCTCGAGACTCTCTACTCGCAGATCGGGTGGCCCTTGGACCGGAAATACGGCCACTCCCACGATGCCTTCAAGATCGCCATCACGTAAGGATATATCTTGCCGACTTGGAAATACTTGATGGAGATTCTGACTTGTGTCTCTTTAGGAACCCCGATGTGTGGAATGAGACTGAATTCCCGAGCGAGGCTGTCCGGAGGGAGCTGATGGACTACATCGGCAAGAAGCTTACTCCCCACCCCACCAAGGTCCGTGCCGACGTCGAAGTTACTTGCTTCGGCTACGATGGAATCGATGCTGTCAAAGAGGCTCTGCGCACGGCCGAAGAGCAGAACACCCCCGAGAACCAGATCAAGGTCAAGCTGGTCGCCCCGCCGCTATACGTCTTGACCAGCCAGTGCTTGGACAAGCAGATCGGTATCAAGATGCTGGAGGAGGCTATCAAGCGCGTCGAGAGCAAAATCAAGGAAGTGGGAGGTGGCTGCATCACCAAGATGGCGCCCAAGGCTGTCACTGAGCACGATGATGCTGCTCTCCAGGAGCTGATGGACAAGCGTGAGCGTGAGAACATGCAAGTTAGCGGAGACGAAAGCCAGTCCGAGAGCGACGAGGGTGTCCCCGAGTAAGCTATTCAGTAGCTTTTGGATACCAACGGCCACCCCAAAAAGCAAAGAGAAAAATCATAAAAGCATTGATTTCATTTAACGCGTTCTGATATCAGTTAGTGGTATATTACAAGGGTGAGAGACAGGAAAAAATAGAGAATAGGGGATAGATGGAAGGTTGCGAATGATACGACTAATGACACGGGAGACGGTTTAATGTGCTCATGAGCGGAATTGGGATCAGCATTTAGGGCAGTGTGTCCACGGGAGACGGACAAAGTATTGCTCTCTCTCGCCCGTGTCGGACAACAGGAGTTCGATTCCTCGTTCTGATGTACATATGTTTCTTAAGAACTGGGAGTTGACTTAGCGGTATACCTTCGGTTCCTGGAGCCAATGCTTACTTTGCTTTCCTCGTGAATTTTTGGTAGATGGTCGTACCATGCCCTAAACGAAGCATGTCAACGTTTGAATCCCAAGCAATATCAACCCACATCCACCTAATCATCTTTTTATGCTTGAATGTCCTAGACTAAACTTGATAGCCGAGCCCAAATGTGAATGAGTATAGATCACGGAAAGTAGTGAATACTCGATCATACACTCAACACCAATCCCTGAACTAGCTTCTCTCTTCCCTTGCGAAACAAACCGGAAATACCAAGCATTATAAAGCTGCAATGATTGACTGCAACGCAACGTTCGTATACACGGTGATGGGGTTGCGAGAGACAAATACATACCTTGACAATATCTATATCTTACAACAACCGCACTTTGTGCATACATGCCTTGAAACCCAGCACGTTCAACATGCCTCTGCACTCCTGAAGGCTCGCTACGACGGCCTCCACTTTCATCACGGTTTACCGCTCGGGGCCCTAACCGACTCAGATGCAGTCCTTTGCAACAAGTTTGCTCGAAGACGAACAGGCGTACGCTACGGATAATCGATTCAGTGGTCAATGTCATGGTAATGGGGGTACTCAGCCCAAAGAGTTATGTACTGGCTAAAAATATAACACAATTTGCTTGAGCCCTGGCAGAAAAATCCTTTTCGAGCCTCCATCGTTTCATGCCGTAGGCCTATGGAGGATGACAGAATTGATTTTCATGTAATGAAATCTGTTCATTCCCAAATGTTGCTACGCAACCAAAATGACAGCCTGTGGAATGAGCGGAAATTCGAAGAACTTGACAAAGCGAAGCACAGCTTTTCAGAAACACCAAAAATAAAATTCATCAGCACCCCCGCACAAACGTTGAATACTCCCTTTCGTTCACTGAATCCCAGTTGGGCCTCTGTGGCGAGAGAGTGTATAAGTGAGGATGCTGTCAGTTAGCTTTGTGGATGGTTTAACTCTTCACCTCAAGGCCTAAGTGACTTTCAGTATCGTATTTGACGGTAAGTAAAAAGGTTTTCGATTGTAGTCTCAAGGGACCTTGTGCTAGTACTTGGGAGTAAGTTAGTCCTAATCCCTGCGAGAAGCATGCTATTCTGATCCCAAGTCAATGGTGGCTCTAGAACGATCGATACCGGTCAGTCCAAAGGTCACGAATGGCCAGCCATAGCGATTGAAATCGGGTATACTGAGACGTACCAGAAAGTGGCCCAGAACACCGGCTTACTTCTAGACTGAGAGAAGAGATGCTAAGGAACGATTTCTCAAATTGCGAGACAATGCAACTCGTCGACCTGAATGTCGACAAGCTAAGAGAAATATTAATTGTAGAGTGAGATGTCTATTTGATGCCATAACAGAGAGAACTGTATATTGCAAACCGATAAGGGTCGGGAATTCAGGGATCGAGCAACAGTATTTAAGCCAGGGTCTCTGTGGCACCATCACAAATTCGACTTGGATATAAACGCTAGTACAGTCGGAGACCGGGATATGTGACTGTTTGACCGAGGAACATGGAAATTTGGCTTTCTTGTGTTCCTTGTTCCACCCACCCTCAGTCATATTGTGGAAGATGTGGAATTTGGCAGCAGCTATTATAAAGTGCCATTTTGTCGATATGCAGCGTGTGCTTACTCTGTACGGTACAAGAGTACCACAGCAGGTGTTTTCAGGTCATCCTTGGCTCGACCATCAAAGAAGATCGAAGCTATGGTAGTACCCACCATCTCTTCTTTGGCTTAACGGCAAGAACGCACAACCGAAACTTTGCACTTCACCGGCGATTTCAATTGAGATTTGTGATCTTGGTTCTTCCCCGGTCAGCGACCTTATCTGTATGCAAGCGCAGGAGCGAAGAGAACATAAAAACCCTTCACTCAGGGCTGTTAGGTCAGGAGCCTGCCAACATTCTCGACAAGGCTATGAGGTCGAAAAAAGTTAACAATGACTGCCATTTACGTATCTATCCTAACGGACATAAACGACCCATTATCAAAAACTTGAAGCCAGAATGAAAAGATGTTTAGGATACAGAGCAGAAGAAAACCGACCCTCAACACAGACCAGCAAAAGGAACATATTATATGTGCCAAACAGATGCTCCAACGTTACGGTCACATGCATAAATGGTGCACGTCTTCGACCCCGAAACCGCTGAACAATTGCTTGATGAGTTTGAGGTTTTGAACGGCATTGCTCGAGATTATTGTGCTATCTCAAAATTTCAAAAGTTGGCGGGATATCTCAGGGTATACTGTAGAAGAGAAAGAAGAAAATTGGCTTGAATTCTTGCACGCGCCGCTTCTGAAATCTTTCTGCTACTAAAATGTCTAGTCCCTCCTCTCCTCTCCCTCCCCCGACTTTGTTCCTCTGTTATCTCAACATTCAACGACAAAAACCGTGAGTGGTAGAGTCATGGTGTTTTTCTATGGTAACCACCTGTTCTCTGGTGATCGACAGGAGTAACTGGCACGTCTGGCCCTGGAGTTATTGCTCTACCTCCACACAACGGTTGAGAAGATGTTGATCAAGCCTGATCTACACGATACAACTTACGGAGACGGCGAAAAGGCTCCAGGCAAGATAGGCTGGCACGAAGCAATTAACATGAAGACCATGAGATGATTGAGACTGACCGACACCTGGGAACGCACGTATACGTAACTGGTAAGTATTCCTTTGGTTTTCTTGTGTTAAGCACTCTTAGTTGTTGCCAATATGAAGCTCCGTCAAATGCTACTATGTGCATACAGCAACCCTCGGTCCAAGAGCTTTAATTAGACTACTGTCGGGTGGACATCCTCGCCCCAGTGTAGAAACAGGAGGCTGCTGAAGCTGTACTCTGGCACTGCAACGCGAAGGACTCGAAAGCGCTACCTGAGATGAACGGATAACAAGTTGATGACTGCATCTGCGATATCAATCTCCTAGACGCCGTGAACACCATGGCTATCCCGCCTAGGTGTTACCACAGACGGCCACCTTCAGGACGAGCCGGTCTTTGTTGGCATCGAGATGAAGAAGAATTCATCGAAGTAACCCCACAGCTCCATGATTACTTTTCTTATTGAAATACGGGAACCCATACAATTTTCTTGGGCTGTCAAGATTATTGCAAATGCAGGCGTTCACTTCGAAAAGTTATTCCCCTTGCCAAACAAACGTTCTCAGATGTCATGAATGTCCTTTTAATATGTTTGAATCTAAGAACACTCTTTTCTGATATCAAAGCCAGGTTTGCTATAGAGAGTGTTTAGCAACAATGACAGTCCACCGAGGAGCTAAATGCTCATACGATTTCTATACGTACTTGATGAGTTCGAAAAGTTCAATGGAACAGCACGGACATTTCCTCGACAAAACCTCGCAGTTATCAAAGAATCACAGAGTGTTCCAGCTTCGGATCTGGATACACTCGCGATTTCAAACCGCGGGTAGAGGGTGTTTTCCCAGGGGCCGTCATTGTGCCGGGTGACAGCATTCATGACCACTCATTTTCTCGTTCGTAATAGCATGACACTGGCTATAAAAAACGGCTCACTAATAATTATAGCATAAAAACCCGCCATTATGTTTGGCAACTTGGGAGTTGAGCAGCCCAACGTTCAAATGCCGAAAAAACCGGATCTAGAGGATACTCCTGTATGAAGAACAATACTGACCACAAAAAGTTGAGTGGGTGGAAACCAGAGAACCCTAGCAAATGGATATATTTTTTTAAAAAATCTCATAAAACAACCACATATTTATATGTAAGGTAGAGTGTCAGATGTCACATTTGTAGCATTTCAATAGCGAGTTCATAAGCTCTCGACTTAAGCTCCCATTCACGAGTGCCCTCTCTGGCAATCTTATCCCAGGCGTGATCACATTTGTCCATCCGTTCGTAGACAACATGTCGACCAGCGTCCTTTCCGAGCTTCGTGGCTAGTCTCTCCGCTTCGAGGGCCAAGGAGTCATAACCAGCGGCAATAATCAGAATGTTGCGAGAGAAGCGACTTGGGTCCGCAAAGTAAGGGGAAATGCGGGGATCTTTGGCGTCAGTATTCGACGGGACATAGCACTGCTTGAAGAACCGGAGTAGCCATGCTGGCAGGGGAGTTCCACCAGATTCAGGTGCAACCAGAGTACTGGGGTCGACAAACGCCTCAATACTTGGATAGAAAGCGAGAACGGATTGGAAAGTCGCTGGAGGAAACAAGCTGGAGCACGCAACAAGAGCGAGGTTGCCACCAGCACTGAAACCTGATATAGAGACGCGGGAGGGGTCAAATTTCTCAGACTGTTTCAATACCCATTTAACAACGTCTTCAACATCGTGTACAGCAGCCGGAAAGGGGTCCTCCGGTCCTAGTCGGTATTGAATGTCTAAGACCGAATAATTTGTCCGCTGGCTGATTTGGCGACAGAAGGCATCATCACTGCCATGAGCTGGGATGACAAAACCACTTCCATGGAAATTGATCAACACGGGCCTGGGGGTATTCTCCTTGTGCAACGGCGATCGATAAAAATGGGCTTTGATGGTTCGTTGGTGATCTCTCGATGGAATGTAACGGACGGCATCGGGGTTAGAAGTGATTTTCCCTTGTAATCTCGCCAGGCTCCTTATAACAACGGCTGCAAACTTGAGATAGATGTAGAAAAAAAACGACATCTTTTGTTCCCTTGCAATTGAGGTTTCTGATCTGGTGCGCCACGATTTACAATCTACATTGGGGGATCAGGGTATATAAACCACATGCTCCCGGAGCCACTGCATTCGGTTCCGAAGATTTTCGAGATTTGTTCCTCGGGATCGGGCTCGGTACAAACCAATTCCGAGCTCAGTCAAGTTTGATTGGCGTGTTTAGGGGTTCATCTTCTTTTTCCAAGCGGGTCCTATGGATAGATAGATCCACCGAATCTGGATGGTTCTCGGCGCTGTCTGTTAAGAGTAGTTCGTCCGCCTACCATTAGATTCAAAGCAGACATTGTGCTGGTACTCCGTAGATGCGGCTCAGTAGAGCACGGAATATAAGATATAGGCCTTGTATAAGTCAAAGTTTCCCAGCCATCTCAGTGACGTGGGTGGTGATCGACGCGGGGCTTCAGCTTCAGCTGACTAAGGTCCCCGGGGTTGTTTTGCGCCAGCCATCATGCAATCCATCATCCTCCGTCAGTAATACTTCTATCCTAAGATTGTTGAGAATGGGTCACTGGAGAGATATCTTCAGCGCTAATGGCGAGCAGGCTCGTCATCGTCTCCATATAGAACAACGTCGATGTACACCATCCCTTAGAAGCTCCACATCGGACAATGGCTAACATGATATCTTATCTCTCAATCGACAGTGCTTCCTGCTTATAACGTCGACGAAGCTTCTTCCCCGAATCCATCAAAGGAAGTCACCAAGATTGCACTGCGGTTGAAGTATCAGGTCGAGCAGGTGGTACCGTGCGAGCTCGAGGAGGATGACCTCACCAATCCTAACAGCCGGATTATCACCAGGGATGTCGTTCAAACCGCCAAGCAGGCTGGGGTTGATGAACTTCGCGGCTGCGTGGTGTTTGCCCTGCTTGTTTGTATAAGATGGTTCAAGTATCAAGCCACGGTTGAGCTCTGGGATTCGGATCTGTTCGAAAGTCGAGCCGTTGCAAGTGAGGTTATTGCCAAGCACATGTAGGTTGCACTCTCCATGCTACCCGGATGCTTGTACAAAGCTAAACAACGTCACACAGCATTGAGAGCGAAGAGAACCCGGACTTCCTATTCAAGGACTGCCTGCTCAAGCGTTACTCGTATTTTGCCGACGGGGAAGAAACTACTCCGACTAACGTCATCGAACGTTCGGTCGACCTCCATGCCCTGAGAATTATTGGCTCCTCTGGCTATCAGAAATGTATCAAATATCTCTGGAACGGTTGGTATTGTCAGGAGGAAGGGAACCCGGCCAACTTCGTTGAATACCAGAAGCGGGATGATCCTCGCTTCTCAACACACTTCCATCCAGACCGCATGCGAGCCCCGGTTTATCAAAACATATGCCAAATCGTCTTCTCGCTGGTGTATCTCGCTCTATACTCCGCCGTCATCAACACAGTCAATCCGACCGGAGACTTGGACGTTGCAGAGGGGGTTCTTTATATCATGACCTTGGCATTCATTTGCGACGAGCTGACCAAGCTATGGAAAATTGGAAGAAACTATTTTGATTTCTGGAACGCCTTCAACTCGACATTGTACACCATCTTGGCGATATCATTTTTCCTGCGTATTGCTGCATTGACGCATTCTTCCTCTGCCGATGACGAACAAAGACAGGAGCTAAACAGGCTTAGCTACAACTTCATAGCCCTTGCAGGCCCGATGTTCTGGATGCGTATGATGCTTTACCTGGATTCAATCCGCTTCTTCGGTGCCATGTTTGTGGTCTTGAGAGTCATGATGAAAGAAAGCATCATTTTCTTTGCTCTCCTTTTCGTCGTTCTTGTGGGATTTTTCCAGGCCTTTGTGGGAATGGCACAAGTCGATTCCGATGTTCCTGTCACGGGTACTATCATCCAAGGAATGGCCAATAGTATCATGCAGAGCCCCGAGTTTGACAAATTTCAGGACTTTGCTTTCCCATTTGGCATTATTCTATACTACCTCTTCAATTTTATTGTCATGATCGGTGAGTTCATATTCTACCCAATTTCTCTTGATTCATTTGCTGATGTTCGCAGTCCTATTGAACATTCTGATTGCACTCTACAACAGTGCGTATGAAGACATCTCCGGAAATGCCGTTGATGAATATTTAGCAATCTTCGCTCTAAAAACGATGCAATTCGTCAGAGCACCAGACGAAAATGTTTTCATTCCTCGTGAGTATACTCATTTATACTGGGGAAACGTGTTGTCTAACGTTAACTAGCCTTCAATCTTCTCGAGATCACCTTCTTGGTGCTCCCATTTGAATGGTGGCTTCCTCGTCAATACTATGCCAAGATTAACGATGCTATCATGGCCATCATTTACTCTCCCCTTCTCCTTATCGTTGCATCTCTCGAGACGCGCGAGGCCCGTCGGATCAGATGGAACCGTCGCCGCGGTGAAGAAGACGATGATGATGTGCAGGAGTGGGAGCATGTCGCTGAAGAAGTTGATTTTGATATTGATGATACCTGGAGGCAGACTGTTCGAGAATCCACGCCAAATGTCAATACTGACACCTGCACTGTGGAGATCATCAAGCTGCAGGAACAGGTAAGGGAACTGACTGAGGCTGTTCGGCTTTTGACTAGCGAGAGGAATGGCGAGGCCCCGAGGGTGAATGGTGAGTCGAGCTCTAGCGGGAGTGAGCTCTAGTGGAAGTGAAGATAATCAAAAACTTGAGGGTCTCAGTGGTGGTCTATATACGGCATTACGTACATACGGGTGGATTTTTTGCGTTCACGAAGGTTTGCACTACGTTGTTCCATATGTGACTTGTGATGATTTTTTGAAATTTTCCGTGCTTGACGATTTGGTTATTTTCTACGTCCAGTACAATTTCGAGATGATTTGAATGTTTCAACGATGATTTTGATATGATCTCTTCTGCGTTCTTTTATCCGAGCAAACAATAAAAGCTGTATGCGTAGGCCTCTTCATGTCAACAATGATTTCCTTCTTCCGGGGCTTCTTTGAAAGAAAAATCCGGCCATTCCTCGACCACAATAAGTCTGGCGAAAAGAAAATAAAAAAGCAAAAAAAATTTAAAGTGATCAATCGTGATCGTCTTCTAATGAAGCCGAACGCGGGGGTCGAACCCGCAACCTTGAGATTAAGAGTCTCACGCTCTACCGATTGAGCTAGCCCGGCTGGGCTTGTTGAATAAAGTAATCATTTAATGTATTATAAAAAAAACCCAAGTCCTCGGTGGGGCAAATTCCCGATATACATAGTGTTGATTCAGTTCTAGGATTAGGATGCTCACTCTGTTCTTCATTCGCAGAAAGAGGTCAAAGTGATCCAAGGAATCTCGGTTCGTATAGGCAAGGCATACGAGCATGAATTCTTTCCACCAGCTTCACACAAGTCGCGAGACATTGTACGATCAATCAGCCATCTTCGTGTTCTGGATATATATATTGAGCTCCTTCTATTCAAGCGGATACCGGTAAGTTACAGCATTCAAATTAATATCCCTTCCAGCAGTCTGACTTCCCTGGAATATCAGCCCACCTCCAGAGTCAGTAAGATATGCATTCGAGAATTCTTGAAATCTGCAGGCTCCTGCTGAGGCTGAGGTTCCTGAAAAACCTGAGCCTGAACCTGCGCTTCACGTTCTCTCTGCAGTACTTCCACCCATAACCATAGCTGATCACTAACAGCCACATAGCCCGGATCTCTGGCACTGGCAAACTTAGACTTTTGCATGTGGTCACCGTGGACACTGCGATTGGGATGAGCGCTGAGGATAGTGGAGTGATCGGGTACTATCCAAAGTTACTCAATAAGTGATCGAACTTAAAGCATCTGCGGGGCTGCATACTTTTCTGATGCCAGTTACTGGCAATCCCTCAAAAAAGAAGGAGATTTCTATTTTCTTATTATGATTCCGGCGATAATCCTCCAACATGGTAGGAAACTCCTGCTGCAAATTCACAAGCACCTCTGACCCGGGCCGCAGAACTTTGACGATGTCCTTATTTGCTCTGTGGAGCACGTTACCGAGACACATAAGAGGCATAGTCCAGTCGGCGATTGTCGAGCCGATGTGCGGAGTTCCCATGAAGACGATTGCAGTGGTGGATGCCAAGATCTGCTTAAGTGTTGTTGTGCGGCGCCGTGGGAGATGAGGAGGGCCTGCTCGACTACAAGTCTGCCTAAGTTATGCGCGACGAAGATGAAGGGGCGTTTGTTCTGTTGCAAGTCAGTTTATTGCAGCCTGCAGTACTTGGTGACCTGAGGGTTCGGACGGTTCGGGACCTCATCCTCCGCATCGCTAGGTCATGAGCTAGCGACTTTCCATGATCTCGTAACGTGTTGGAGCCGGACACGTGCAGGGCGCGGATTATATTAACATCGTACCCAAATGTTAAGATCCGGCCATCGGGGAGATCGCGGGCCACGAACCCTTGTGGCCAGAATATCTTCGTTTGCTTGTGAGCCCAGGTTGTTTCGCGGTTTCCCGTCAGGCCGTGAACGGAACGATGCTGATAGTGACGTACTTTAGTTTAGTTGATGTGATGCGACTGGGGTCTTGCATACTCCACACATGCGTCTGCGGGTTCAGAGAGTGTCTGGAGACCGTAGTCGTCCGTCGTTGATTGGAGCTTTATATGGGACAGAAACATTTATAATGCTGCAATGAAGTTGACTTACACCGTGATGGTCATAATGAAACGAAGAAAAAGAGGTTCAGCTGAACAGGTGATGAGGTGTCATGGCTGATTGCTTGTAATATGATATGCAGGCTAGTCTACTTGCTCTGAACTCAGCCTCGTCTGCTTATCGCCCAGACTTCTTCCACTACCAAAATGAATCTCCTCCCACCGAAGACTGGTTGAAGTAGAAAACAATAACTCCATCATGTATTCGACCATTCACACCCAAGGCGACGCAGTGATCAACGGCACGCTCACAGCTATTCGCGACATAAACATAAGTATGAGATGACACCCTCGCGCACAACAACAACAACACAACAATAACCAACAGCCAAAACCTTCACAGACCACATCACAACAATCCGATCATTAGCGCGTGCCTTCCATCATTCCTTCTTCACCTCCGACCTATCCAAACAAGTCCAAAACGAGCTCTCTCCTCGTAGCCCTCGACACCACCAAGGAGAACCTGGAAGATACCAACTCGAGCGACACGTCCCTTTTAGAGCTCGACAGAGAACCGCCGAACTGTCACTTGACACTACTAGATCTGCAAATCCAAGAAACATTTTGAAAATGTCGGACCAGACACCCAGGTCACCTGGGAACGGGAGGGATGGAGAACGGAGGAATTGGGGGAAATTCGGACGAGGCTGTCGTCGTACATGGGTCTGATCAACTTGTTGAGTATTAATATGATAAAATAGGCATAATTGCGCTGATGAGATAAGATTTTACGATGTGGATATGTGCTAATATGTTTCTAGATCCTCGCAAGCACATGTCGAGCAGCTGTTGAGGGTATTAATCAACGAAATCTATTCCGGTAGACGCGAAGGATCGGTTGTTTCAAATGACTCGCTCTCGATGAATGGAAGGGAGGCCTGGCGGCAACTGCGCAAAGGGCTGGAAAGCGTGGGAATTAACCACGAAGCTTTAACTCAGGGTCGGTATTTTATCCTGTCAACGCTCAAGAAAGCTATCTTTCAGGAAGGCCTTGGAGAAGATGAGTTCCAGGTATCTGCTCTCACAAATGGGTTGCGCATCTAGTTAACCAATATCGCAGAAAGCTGCCCCTTGGCACGAAGGACAAGCAATAGAAGACCTAATTCAATAATACCAACATAGATAACAAAGCACACCCGATTACCAATATGCTGGATTAAACGATCGGCTACGAGAATGACCTTACTTATTGTGCTGCAAACGGAGACTTGGACCTGGTCAAGCAGCAACGTTATTATCCATCAAGGTGCTTTTCATGGTTCGCTAACAAGCAAAGGCATGATGTCAACAAGATTAGTATCGATCTCACCACATCTCTTCAAGATCATACTCTTTATGTTCAATTTTGAAACCAACATTGATCCTGTTGACTTCCATATATGACTGGACTACAGTTATGCAGCCAGCATCCATTGACTATGGCCAACACATACATTTTCATGCACTTTGAATTCTTTGTCTCTGAATTTATTTCACAGCGAATTCCGTTAGTGATTAGTTGACGACTACCAGATTTTCTATAAGCAGTTTGAATTTTCTCAACGATATATTTGACCAAATGTAGCCCACCTTCATCAGTAATGCAATATAGCCTCCTTAGTAGAGATCCTTGTGGTCAGCCTTGATGAGATCGGCACCCTTCTCACCAACCATGTAGACGGCATTCTGGATACGACAATCTGGAATGACAGGGAACACCGACGCATCAATCACCCGGACATTTTTCAGGCCGTGCACCTTGAGTCCTCCATCGACCACACCATGTTCGATGTCCTTTGACAGGCGGCAGGTCCCGCAAGGATCTGTAACCAAAATCAATCAGCAACGTAAAATCAATCGTGGCATTCTTCTTGGGCTCTTACGGAATCCAATCTGAGCGCGTTCTAAGACCATCTTATCCATTGCTTCGTCCGAGTTACGCGGCATGGGCCAAGGATAGTCCTCGCCGATGATGTCCCGGAATCCCTCGCCCGTCATGAGAATATCATCCACAAAGCGGACACCCTCTCGCAGAGCGATCACGTCAAGATGGTTCTCGAAGAAGTTTACGTTGATGTGTGGCTGATCTACTGGGTTGGCCGACTGCAGCTTGACCCAGCCCGGCTTTGACATGGGACGCAATAGGTCGACAATCGTCGTCAGCCAGGTTCCCTCCGGAGGGATGGGGAAGTGCCACTGAAATGCGTCCGCGAACATTGGCTGTACAATCCAGCTGTTATTTAGGCGGGTCTTAAATTAGACATCTAGATGCTCACCACAAAGTCAATTTCGAAGTGCGGCTGCCCCGACGGTCCAAATGGATCCTTCCCTCCATTCTCCTGCTTTGCCTTCACGTACGCCTGGATCTTGTTTAGGCGGTCATCAATGCGAGGGAATCCCACTAGCTCTAGCAGACCGCTGGCCAGCGCCCCAGTGTGGTCCCGATTATAAGCCGTGACTGCGCCTTCCTTTTGCGGACCGGCGCGCAGCAAATGATCATCCAGGCCTAAGCCATCTTTCAGGCGAAAGACATGCGACAAGATGGGATGGTCAATCAAGTTTCGGCCCACATGAGGCGAATCAACAGTAGCCTTGATGGCGAACTGCGCCAGTTCTTTTTCCGGCCCGATACCCGACAACATCAGCAGCTTCGGTGACTCGTACACTCCACCAGCGACAATGACTTCCTTGCGCGCCCTGATGGTAATATCTTCGTCATTGGGCCCGCCGACTTCAATTCCAGTGGCGCAGTTGTCATTGATAATCAACCGCTTCCCGTAGGAAGATGACAGGACTTGGATGTTAGGCTTACCCACAAGAAATGACCAGCTTGAGGAGCGAACGCCCTTGTAGATACTGGTAGCGCAGTGAGTCAGACCTGACACATAGCCCGAATAAATATCATCGTTGACTTTGAGGCCCTTGCTCTGCCAGGCTTTGAGCAACGCATCTCGAAACGGCTGCAGTTCGGGCACTAAGTCCGCGTGCCCGATGTGAAGTGGACCACCCAAACCAATGTTCCTCACATGTGGGTAGTTATTATTGTCATCATGATAAGTGACGGGCTGTCGAATTAGATTAGATAGAGTAGAAATGAGGGAGGACAAGGACACACCTTATCAAAATATTCCTTGACTCCCTCCCAATTCCAGCCGCTGCCACCAAACTCTTCCCAGTCGTCAAAGGTCGCCTTGCTGCCGCGCACCCAGGTGTAGTAGTTGAGGCAACTGCTGCCACCCAACACTTTCCCTCGTGTGTTAGGCTTCTCCACGCGGGTATAATCCTCGCGGTCGATCATTGTGGCTTTGTACTTCCAGTCATTGGGGCCATTGCGGCACTCGAAGGCGCGAGCGGGAGTGGTGATCTCCCCGATATTCTCGGGATCGCTAAACCTCGGTCAGTGAAATATGGAAAAGAGGTAGAAACCGTACCCTCGACCTGCTTCGATCACCAGTACGGAAACTTTGGGGTTCTCGGCTAGCCGGCCGGCAACCACATTCCCAGCAGTCCCACCTGTGATGAGGGTTAGTATGTATGATCTACCTGAAGCAATATGTACTAGCTACATACCTCCGACGACGATGAAATCGAACTCATTGGCCATTTCTGGCACGGTTATGTTCTTGACGTTTCCTGTGGACATGGCTGGAAGGTAGGTAGAACTCAGATTGATTCGAAAACTTGATTTTTCCTGCTTAACTACCCACTAGCCAGCATTGGAATTCGATTACAGATTAATGGCACTGGATAGTATTGATGGAGCTATTATATCAAGAGGCCGGGTCACGTCATTTTGATGCATAGCTGATAACGACCCCAGATGGAGAGATTAGGACCTCAGAAGCCAGTTAGTAGCGGAGACACCGGGAGTACATAAATGTTTAATTATGCACTCAGCTAGACCATTCTTATTCAGGATGGCTGTGCCAGCAATGCGTGGGCCTAGTCGAGGCTACGCAGGCTTGATATGGGACCCATAATTTTCGTATTTGTTAAGGCCGAGATGTGTCTAGCCGGAAGCTAAGGATGCGGCGGAGTGAAAGGAATGTTAAATGATCTTGCGCGGGTGATTGCTCGGGCTTTTCGGATCCGCCTTTTGCTCAGGGTCCCTGAGACATCTCTCGGTGGTGATAGCAGACTGTCATTGAGCGATGCAGTTGGCTCCGAATCAAGTCGGACGAGTTCGTTGCTCGTTTGGTCAGCATCTCAGTCTGGCCGACAATTAGGTCCAGCTAGCAAAACGTATTAAGGCAAAAAAGAGCAACAACAAAAAAAAAAAAAAAAAAAAGCGTAACCGCTCATTCTGTCCTGCCGCACAATTTCCAAAAAAAACATCTCTACCAGCAGCTGCTTCTGACATGGCAAACACATGCATACGAGCCAAAGCCTGCTCATTCCGGAAGATCACAGAATCAACCCGTGCCAGGATGTCTGGATGCCCAGTAAGGACCATCGTCACCTCATCGCGTGCCTCGGCCGTGGCGTCTGGAGTGAACATGGCCGTACATACTTTTGCGATACAGATGTTGAGCTTGTCATTGGTCTCTCTCTCGAGTCTTCATCAGGAGAGTAAAAGATCAGTCAGAATCTATGTCCTCGATGGTTCTTAACTTACCTGAAGATCAACTTACCTGAAGATCAACACCAAGATTGACGTTCGGTGCCCACCACTGCGAACTAGTTTTGAAGTCGGAGTCGGGGTTTTGTTTCTGTAGGCCATCAATGTGCTTGGCCATGCGAGAAAGCTGTTCCTCACTGGTGGCACCATCGTCTGATATAATGCTGTTAGCCATGGTGTAAATTTGCGGAGAAACTTGAATCAATGATGAAGCTGGTGATGAGGCGTGGAAATTGAAAGATAAACTAAGGCGTGTCTCTTTTATGTAGGTAACTAACTAGTCAGTTTACTAGTAGTTAAGAGGTGATGTAAGTATACATTGGCTGCACAATATCAAAAGACACGATTTTATTGTCTTTCGCAGATGTCTGTCCTCTTCCAACGAGGCAATCCACATAACACAGAGCGGCTAGTCGGCTTTATTCTCCGCGCTGTGGCTATGTTGAATTCGTATTTTTGAAACTTTTTATCAATATCCGGATGGTATATATTACATACCACTACCTTTCCTATTACAACTGCTGCATCGTATTGATCGCCGTGGTATTGTGACAACGATGATAATTGTAGATAGCATATCATAGAAATAATCATGATATAACTATAGCGAATATGATTGCCCATTATTAACTACGTGACGATACGCTTATAAGCCTTTGTGGTATGAAATCGAAATATAGTTTTTGCATTAGCAATACTGATAAACCTATCGCCCCCTACTGCAGCAAATCCATATAGCAAGATACAGCTTAAGTCAGTAGATTGCCATTGAGTATTGTTGACATTTATCACTGGCAAGATCAAACCCTATTGAAGTACTCCTTTGTCTGCTCCCGCGAGCTCGACTAATTAGACTTCTCATACATCCACCATCCCGACACCGGCTGAATCGAATCCAACCCAGTCTCCGAAGCACCTTCAAGTGACTGACCACTGGAACTGGCTTGAATACCCACCATACCGGCAAGCATTGTGGTATCGTATTCTTTACCGTTGTCATCGAGTTTCACAGGGACCGAAGCGTATCCAGCGGGGATATCATCTGTTTCGACTCGATGGAAAAGAACGCCATCAAGCTCGCAGCCAGTGTCCCATTCACCCGGTCGGCCGTGATACAAAGGCTTACCATCTTCATTCCAGAAGCAGAATGCCGTTACCCAGCCTGATAGATAGGTAGGGCCACTTCCACCGCTGTAGTAATGAGCGCATTTACCCCAGAAGTCTCGGAGGCTGGACGATGTGGGATCGTCAAAGCAGGCGACAAATCTCTTCAGGACGGGAGTAAGGAATTCTGCAAATTGAGCAGGTTCTTTGCCCAGTTGTGGGATTTTATCCAATTTCTTGAGCAACAATTCCCAGTCGTCACGCTCGCCGAGTAAAGTCACACTGGGGATGCCACACATCAGATACATCGTGTAGCTGAAGTATTTCTGCATGGTACCCATCATCTGGATGGCAGCAACAACCTTGTCGTTATCAGTAGTGGTACTGAATTCTGGCATAATCCATTTTTGAAGCTCCGGATCTAGGACGTTCTTTTGAATCTCATTTGTCATCGTGACCGCTAAAGCACCGAAATCCACGGTATGGATCGTACCGGCTTCAACGACAGTAAGCTCCTTTTGCCCTTCGTGAGCGACAAAAAAGGAGCGCAACTCCTCTGCATGCGCATTGACGTAGAAGTTGATTTGATTTAGGATGGCAAACCAGACATCGTCTGGGCGGATCGTGAGGTGGTGATGGTGGCTGTATGCGTGATAGAGAGCATAAACGAAGCCATTCTTGGACGAAGTGATGTGATGACCATCCAGGGAATGGGAGAAGGCGCTTTGAATGATTTGTTTTGAGGCACGGTGGTTGTTGGGACATGAGGCTTTGAAGAGGTCTTCGGTGGTGGACTGTTTCTCCTGCGTCCACTCTTTTGCTTGGTGGTCTGCGGCTTGTAGTGAGACAGGCATTTTGAAGTTGAGGTTATGAGTGATTGAATACTTGTAGAAGTGAGAAACTGCCGATATAAATAAGGTGGGTGGGAAATGATCAGCCAGCCACAATTGTACAGAGTTTGGTTGCCTTGTGGATTTGTCACCTTGTGTGGCTGTGTCAACATCCTATAGTCCATCATTACTATTTAGCGTATTCAAAATTTCCTGCAGTTCTTGGCGCACGTTTCATCGAAAACATACACATGTCTACCCGATTTACTGATGTGATGGTTAGCAGGCGGCCGAAAAGGGCTACTTCGGCGCCGTTTTAAGAGTCCTGCTAACCAACTCCCGTCTTGGCATCAAGTGAGCATATTCCCACAACCACAGGCTTTCCCTCCACGCCCCTCAACGCTAGTCTCAAATGGGACTTTTGTTGCTATTTGGTTCAACATCATCTATCAAGACACTCTCACTGCAGTTGCAAAGGGTAGCCGGTTTTGGCTCCCCTTGACCATCTTGTTTTCAAGAATTTATAGATCCCATTGTGCTGACTGTGTTCTTCCCTGCTTCCATCCTTTCTCCCACAAGCATCTCTTGCAGCACTTCCCATTCATATGAGGTCTGTCTTCATCCACAAAGCCACTGTTACTCTCACCTTCTTTATCTTCTACTCCAGATTTTCTTTTTGTTGCCAGTTTCCTGCGGGCTGTGTCTGTAACGGCTCAGCCCAGCGCCTTCATCAGCAAACATCATCAACACGGCAAACAATACCATGGAAGCAATCAAGACAAACAAGCTGCTTAGCGAGACCACACACAACCATATGGGACTTCTTCACGTAAATAGACTGCCTCTTATTTTCTTATCTTCTCCAGATTCGATATTCTCGTCGATGGCTACTAGTTGGTTTAGACAGGAATATCAATTCGTTAATATCTTCTAGCTATGACAGACCATGATTCATGGACTCGAGGCCAGCAGCTATTCTACAGCCTCTTACCCCTATATGTTCCTGAGGCACTGGCCCCCTATATCATCTTTCCGATCTTTTTCCTCGCCCCAAACCGCCTGTATGTGCAGGGCTTTCGAGCACAGTGCTCTCCTTGTGGTTCGCCGAAGGGCAGGGTGGGTGTGGCCTAAGCAGGGATTCAGCTTAGGCTACCCTCCCTGCTACCCAGGAAGGCTTTGGAAACTGTATTTTGGAAATTACTACCCAAGGCGGAGTAAGAAGCGAGCAATGGGAGATTCAAGAATTAAATGAAGTTCATCATTTCGATACAGGGAAACTGCAAGGCAGTAGCTACTCCTACTGAGAAGTCTAGGAGCACAGCCAGAACTACCCACGAAACTGACCAATGGGACTCGTGCTCTTGAGACGACAACATCCAGAGTTCTGGTGAACAAAATTCGGCGACCCGTATATATTACAAGGCCCTATTCAAGCTTCTCTGTTGAACGCTGACCTATAACAGTGGCCTTGGTAGCTACCGCATCAAATTCACTGCGATGGACGGCAATAATGGCCCAATCGACCCGAAGGTTAAGGACGGCAAGCACTGTGGATCCGCTGATATCTGCGACCCCGAGATCACCTCTCATCGGGAGGTGCACCGATAGTTCTTCAAACCTGGAACCCTGCCGGACTTCACAAGGGTGGTGTGCTTGACCAACTCCATTTCGGCGGAAATGTGATGGGCTATGCGTAAGTCTCGTGGAACCGATTGAGAGGGTGGAGTAAATACATACTGATCGGTGGTGACAGATGCGGAGTTCCCTGCAAGAATGATTCTGGGCTTCCAAAGGGGGAGTAACATAAATTTCTGCCTTGTTATAGCATGGGATTCACTGCTACCATTCTGAACTTATTGTCAACTGCCTTGTCTTGACCTACTTGTTGTGGCATGGTATAGAACTTGAAACTGGCATACCACTGTATCCCTGGAGGTCTACTGGATGGCGTCCAGGCCGTATACACTCACTCACCCCTTTCCTGTTTGGCTTGTTTAGACTGTTTGTGGTTCTGTTAATGTGCTTCTCCATATATCCAGTCACCCCTTCATCGTATGTCCATATAACTCAATATATACATTTTATGCCTATATCGTTTGTCAATCTTGCTGCGGTAACTTTCGCAGTCCGCACCAAGTTCCGTGTCTCTTCCGGAAACCTCCGCCGTCCGAGTCAACTGTGTGCGAGAAATACCCAGAATACCCAAGCATTCCTCGTTGCATTCCAAGGAATCCGGCATTTTGGTGGATGCCGTGCGGGCGCGGGTGCGATCCGTACGTCAAATGCCACGGCGTGCCAACTATAATGCCACAACTAATAATATCAGTTAAGTACCTTGACCCAAAGCCCCGCGCATTGGCTCTGTACATATGTACGTAGTAGACAGCAGACTGATGCGCTCGCAAGTACCTATTTCGGGTTTGGCCCGCACTGTTCATCACACTATTAATTAGACGAGGTGGCAATGTCATCTGTCATCTCGCTTACCGGCTATCCACTGAACTGGCATTAGTTAGTTGATTGGTTGGTTAGCTAAATAACTATGGGGTATGAGGAACCCGGTAGATGAGATCGGGACCCAGAGTACAAGTACTCCTATGCTCTAGTGAGTAACTGTTCTGACACCCCGTCTTAGCATTCTAGCTAAAATGTGAACTTTTGCTTTGACGTGTACATAGGACTCCATATCCCCGGTACGTAGCTGCAAATTTTTAAAACTCTGAGATGCTGGGCTTATGTAAAAAGCAATGTGGGTCTGAGCAAGGTTCCTCTGTTCCTCCAAGCTTTATCGAGTGGGGACTAAGGGTCTTGTGGCAATCAATAACTCTGGTCGTGCTTTAACAACCCCCGAGGATTGTCCATTTGCCATTTCATTGGCCCTCCCCGCATCCAGTCTCCAACCCTAATCCGATCCAATCTTCGTGCAAATTTCCCCTGTCGTTTTTTTGGATCTTCTTCCTTAACCCACCGACTACTCTTTTATTTTATTTTATTTTTTTTAAAACCTTTCTGTTCCGTTTTCTCTTAACTATTTGCTTTTTCCTACGACTTTTTTGCGGCGTTATTGTTCAAGTCTATCCCTTCTCTTTCTGGCTGTAGCCAGTCCCCACAATTCCTCGTATTGTATTCTCTCGGGCTGGGCTATCCATTCATATCTTTAGCTCGTTTCCAGCATGTCAAGTCCTGTAAACGAAAAGGCCGACCCCAAGCTCCACGATCAGAACGATTTGAACAGTGGCCACCCTACGACCGACAACGACCATCAGGTTCACGATAGCTCGGATATTAGTCACGAACCTCATGTGAAAGCCAGAACTCCCGACGACTATGATGTTTCGTCACTACGTTCTCGGTACAGTACCAGGGAAACAAACACGCGCCTGGGAGATGATCTTGCCGTGATGGAGGCGGAGCGCGTAGTGTCGCAGTCCACCCATGATGCCCAGAGCAAAAAAAGTCGCGATCACCACTCTATTCGCTCGCGCCGATCTGCCGTGGACGAGTTCGACGAGGCAACGAACCCATTACACGAGCGCGCCGCCCTCTACCAACCACCAGAGAAACCTACCACCAAAATTGCCGGTTTCGTCAAAAAGCTCCACGAATCAAGCTTTGTCATACGCTATCTCACCTATATTGTGCCATTGGTTGTGATATTGTTGGTCCCGCTGTTGGTGGGTGCGCTGGCTTTTCCGGAAGCCAACGTGGGTGGTGTTTCGCTGCTCTGGTTTTCGGTTTGGTTGGAAATCCTCTGGCTAACTGCTTGGGCGGGAAGGGTATGTGTGACCGTTCTATTCCAATACCCGACCAAGGAAAAGTTAGGTGCATGTGAGCTGACATCCCATCAATCATTACTAGATTGTCGCGAAGTGCCTTCCGTTCCCCGTGGGCATACTTGCCAGTATCTTCACCAACAACGCGAAAAAATGGCGAGACGTAGCCAAGCAGTTGGAGCTCGCTGGGACCTTCTTTTTCTGGTTCCTGGGTGTCGAGATTTCCTTCCTCCCCACGATGAAGAATCACCATGTCGATGGCAACAAGGACACACGCGGCTGGGAAAACACGGTCAACAAGATAATTATTTCCATCTTTGTGTGGACGATCCTGAACCTCATTGAGAAATTCCTTGTCCAATTGATTGCTATGAGCTACCATTCACGCACTTATTCCGGCCGGATTGAGATCAACAAGTTTCAAATTGGCGCCCTGGCCAAAATGTATGGCTTCTCTCGAACAAAGCTCGCCGATGAGAAGGACGACTCTGGAGACCAGCAGGGCCAAAGCGCCCATGGCTCGCCTTTTATGAAGCCTTTGCAATATGCCGGTAAAGCGCAGAAGGTGGCCAAAGGTGCTCTGAATAAAGTTGGCGATGTGGCAGGCGCCGTTGCTGCTGACTTCACCGGCCGCAAAGCCACTAGCAGTAATGATCCTTATCAAGTTGTCCTCGCCTTGTTGCGGACGGTCCCAGGCTCTCAGGGTCTGGCTCGTCGACTCTATAGGACCTATAAGCGCGATGGATTTGACACTATCCTCCCTAACGACCTGAAAGTGACTTTTGAGGATAATGAAGAAGCCGAGACTGTCTTTGCAATGCTTGATAAGGATTTGAATGGGGATCTTTCCATGGACGAGTTTGAAGCGGTCTTGGTGGAAATTGGCCGTGAACGAAAGGCGATTACTTCCTCTCTGAAAGACCTTGACTCTGTGGTGTCAAGGCTTGGTAATGTCCTGGATGTCTTTGTCTTAATTATTACCCTGATGGTTTTCCTGTCATTGATCTCCACCTCTGCATCTGGTGTGCTTACCTCTGCGGGCTCTACCATTCTTGCTCTGTCCTGGCTCTTCTCGACTACAGCAGTCGAGTTCCTCCAGTCAGTTATCTTTGTGTTCGTCAAGCATCCGTTTGATGTCGGTGACCGTATAACAGTCTATGGTAATACTGGGGCTGCTGGTCTTGGGGATGACTATTTTGTGAAACAGATTTCCCTGCTGTACACAGAGTTCAAGAAGATGGAGGGTCATATTGTGCAAGCCCCTAATTCTTACTTGAGCTCACTTTTCATCCTTAACCACCGCCGGTCTGGCGCCCTCGCGGAAGCAGTCCCCATTGTGATCAAATATGGCACAACAATTGATCAGCTTGAAGCTTTGCGCCTGCGTTTGCTGGAGTTTGTATCCAGTGAACGCCGCGATTTCCAGTCTAACATTCTCACTGAAATGCGGGAAGTGACGAATAACTTCTCAGTGACTCTCAATGTCGTCTTCTTTTACAAGTCCAGCTGGCAAAATGAAGGCCTTCGCCTGCAACGGCGCAACAAGTTCATTTGCATGCTCATGGTGGTTCTGCAAGAGGTCGGTATCCAGGGACCACATATGAACTGGCCTGGTGCTCGTCTCGACATCCCTTTTCACCTTGCAGGTCTTTCGTCGTTACTGTCTAACTCAGCAGCCGGCCACCCTCCTCCTTCGGACCCCTCTACCGAGAATGACCTCCCTAAGAAGAGCACCGAGGACAGTGGCGATGGTGCTGCGCGCCATCCCTCCATCCTCCGCAAAGGCATGGACACAGCTGCTGCACAGGCTCGGGGCGACACCAAGTCGTCTCGTAAGCACGTGGACTTTTCGTTTGGGATGCAGAATCTTTCTTCTGCGGACATGATGGGAGACGTGTTTGATGAGCGGACGAACCGCACTGAAGATCTTCTCCGCCGGGCGACGGCTGTACAAGAGGAGCAAGAGGAAAGGGAATGGAGTGAGCGACAGAGCCAGAGCCAAAGCCGTAGCTCGTCCGTTCAATATCCTTCTCACCCCGACGCGGGCGAGGGTCGACGTTCGATCGAGTCTCAGAATAGTCGCTTGTCCTCTGCTAGCCACCGTCGATTCTTCCGCCATAGGAACAACGCGCGTTCTCAGGACGATCCCGACGTGGAAGGAGGATACGACCATAACACGCAGCTTACCACTGCGCCCACCGCGCCAGACCACCGGGATCATCATTAACACTATTATTTGTCTCTTGAATATTCTTTTCTGTATACAAAATAGATGTACTTTATTTCCTATTTAATTGTGTTCCTTGTTTAAAAAAGAAAAAGAAAAAGTAAGAAAAGCTTGCAGTCAACAATAGGACCAGGACAACCATGGCAGATCAAGAACAACGGACACCGCAGGTATGCAGCATTTGCAAAAAAGTGCAAGAGAGCATGTGATAAGGAAATTCCTGGTTGTGGCTATTGAATCCAGTGAGTAGTTTCACCACTTCCCACATGTACAGTCCATTGTGAGAAGCAACAGGATCAAGACAAGACTCGCCTTCGGATACTCCATGTCGTGATCTAGTTCTTGTTCAAGTAGATAGGCATCGTTTAATTCATTTAGCTAGAATACCTGAGTAATATACCGTACACAATTATGATTGAATAACAACAAAGATTACAAAAAGAAATTGGTCCCGCATTTGCGTTAAGTCCATGGGAAAACCCAAAGCGAGAAAAAAAAAAAAAAAAACACGGACGGAGCCAAAGGTGAGTTACCTTCAATTTCCAAGATCTTGAAGGCTGCGTTCTATAGCCTCTCGCAGCCGACATGCCTCAGTGCGACGTTGACGGACTTGGGGTGATTCAGTGGCCAAGTCAAGCAATACTTCATCGGCATAAGTGCTGACAATCATGGGGCTGAAAACAATTGGGAGCCTGTCAAGAATATGTCGCTCAATGACCTGACGGCACACATTATCAACAAATGTTTTCATAGCAACCTAATTATTATTAGAACGGGGACAAAATGCAGAGTGTAGTTATGACACAACGCATACCTTGTAATAGGCAGCTAAATCAGTCCGTGCATCAGCGCAAGCCTGCTCAGTCATATCCACAATCAGCCGGTTTTGCAGAGATGACAGCAGTCGGTTGATATCGTTGGGCGTATTGCTGATATGGGATGTCCTATTCCAGTCTTCATTGATTGCTCTATCCATAGATTCTTTCAGGTGTCCCTTTGAGCGATCAAGCCGTGCCTTCTGAATGTTGTCTGTGTAGTAATGGTTATATGTGATCGGATGGCGTGCTTCATCTTGAAGAAGCCTGTTCAGCTCCGCATGTGCCTCTCGGATATTCATGCCCAGGGCAGCATTGACCACTTGGGTTAAACTTTCACGGACATCAAGGTCTTTAACAACAAATGCCAAAGCAGCATGGACAAATTGAGACACCAGTGATACGATAACATCCACATGCTGACGGCTAATATCCCCCCATCGCTCTGACTGCGTATGAAACAACTCAGCAAGCAGGGAGTGGTTCCGGTTGCCTGGCAGCTCTCGACCCCGTGTTTTATGATATACCTGCCTGTATTAGGACATACTAAAATGTGATCTTAAGACATGTTCATACATACCTCTTGAACCCACAATGTCATTTCTTTCTCAGTCATGAGAATTTGCCCTTTCTCAGCTTCCTCTTCCTGAGATTCATCCGCCTCCAAGTTCTGATAGGCGACCACTTTTCTTTTTTCACTATGCTGCCTCATGTAGCTAGCAAATTTTTCATTCTCCTTGTGTACAGCTGCACGAAGGCGAACAGAGATATCCTCACCATTGACGTAAAAAAAGGCCGCGTCATGGCCACCATAGGCCCCTTCCACTCCAGCCTTCACCAAGTTGTGGAAGTCACTACTGATCCGTGTCAAGTACACGCGAATTTGGTTTGGTGAGTTGCGTTCTGTTCCCAGGTCGACAAGCTCCTCATTAATCTCATTCAACAAGCGCCGCACATCCTGACGGACTTTGGGCAGTTCACGCTCAATGTGATGGTCGAGAAGATCTTGCAAGAATGATCGCAGGTTATCTATTCCTATACGCGATGGATCAAGGCCTTGCCCCTTCCAAGCTCCGCTAGAAAAGAACTCCAATTCCACCTTACGACGCTCTGGGAGTGTGGTCCCTGCTTCCAATTCCGCAGGCGAAGGGTTCTTGAGAAGAAAAAACCCCAAGTTCAATTTTGCACCATCTAGATTCCTCGCCAGACGTGCAACACGGGGTTCTGTGCCAGCATTAATAAGATCAGGTTTGGTAATGACCCCCACAGTCCGAAGTCCGGTTTTGTCGAAGTGGCGAGCCCGTTGAAGTATCCCTTGAGTGTCCACATCACTGCTCGCGGGAACAACAGCCATTATAATAGTTCGTGAATTCTCCAGATATGAATCCACCAGATCCCGAACAAGCTGGACATCATGTTCATTCTCGGACACAGATATTAATCCAGGCAGATCAACCATTGTCAGATGTAGCCCCGTGCTTCCGACTAATTCCAGGCGGAGAACATCCGCAGAAAATGCTGATGCATTTGACCCAATACCATGTCCATGAATGTCCATTATGCTTCTTGCTTCTTCAACAATAATTGGCAACTCTGTGAAGTCACTGATGTTGCGGTGGAATGCGCCAAGGCTGGACTTTTCCTCGTCCGTGCGAGAGACATGTGGTATAATCATGGCCGTAGCACGTTGTTCTCCTGGTTCGTGGCGGAGAATAATTTCGGTTGCAAATCGCGTGCAGAGACCATCCTGGCGAGGAAAAGGAATTCCACTGATACCTTCTAGCACCGAGCTCTTCCCTGCAGACTGATCCCCGCATACCACTAGCTGTGGTAGCGCAACATGGTCACCAACGCCGTTAGCACGAACCCTGTCTATCTGGTTGAGTCTTTCAGATGTTTTGGATGTCTGAAGTCCAAGGGCGTCTGCAAATCGATTCAAATCAGGTACAACGCAATTTTTCTCCGAATCAGTCTTCATGGTATGAATCTGAAGACTTGCTGAGTTTATCAAAACTGATCCACAAAATAAACAGAATTAGAATGTCGTGGTGGTAATAGGATCATGCAACAGAAGAATCTATTGGTAAGTGACTAGCTAGAATACCAGCATGTGGAAAGAAAGAAGGAAAGAAGGAAGGAAGGAAAGGAGGAAGGGAAATAAATAAAAAACGAAACAAAGGAAACAAAAGGGGTAGACAACACAAAGAAGATAAACGGCTTGCCAACATCCTTCGCCATGCCATTACCCTTCCTCCTAAAGAAAGGGTGACTGCCTCCAGTCATTGCTTTACTGGATAGTAATAATCTGGACCGTTGCAGGTCGGTGCCATGCGGGACAGTCTGCTCAAACGCATTTCATATCACTCAAAATGTACAAACGTGCCAATGGTTGGGAATGCACTGAATAAAAGTTGCTGATTCCTCACGGAAAAAGTTCTGGTCTGGGCTCGGAACTTTGCTTGCATGGCCAGAGAGTGCAAGATCGGATACCATAGAGAATTACCACCATCACCAGATATTTATCTTTGCTTGCTGAACTATTTATTATTATTTAATCAAGTTTATTGTCCATACCGAGCCCTAGAGCTATGACAGACCATTATCCGTGGACTTGAGGCCGTTAGCTATCCTACAGTCTCTTATCCATATAAGTTCCTGGGGCACTAGCCCCCTTCCATACTCTTTCTGATCCTTTTCCTCGCCCCAGACCGCCTGTTTGCGCAGGGCTTTCGAGCACTGTGCTCTCCTTGTGTTTCGTGCAGGATGGGTGCGGCCTAGGCTGACTTCAGCTCAGGCTACCCTTCCTGCTATCCTTCTCCTGTTCGAATTGCCTCTTCCAATGATTCCAATCCCCATTCATCATCTTT